TTCAAAATGTCTTAGTGACGTTTTTTTCGACGTACTGGTCAACTCCACCGTAGCGAATCACATGACTTTGACATAATCAATAATATATTACGGTAAATACGAGCGAAAAATATCTTTATAAGTAAAGAATTGTCGCATAAAAATTAAATACACGGGAAATGGCAAAATTCACAAAGTCTATTCTGATTAATCATTAAAAAAAAAAAAAAAAAAAAGTGCAAACAAAAGGGGGGGGGGGGGCGTACGCCCTCTACGCCCCCCTCTGGATCCGCCACTGCCGACGGCATAATCTTATACCAGAACAATTTATATAAAAACGAAAAACAAATGACAGACAGCAACCAACGACAACCACTCAGTGATTTTATAATAAATAAATCATGTTCGCCACTAATGAAATATCAAGTACACATCCAACGTCATGAACAGACAAGAAGGCCACCAGGGCTATTGTCATCACTTCCCGTCCGTCCGTCCGTGTGTTCGAGGTAAATTTTACACACGTTCATCTCAGTTTGCAATATTGTGTCAATAATAACTCATCTAGAAAGAACTCGTGATCATTCATGAAAGGCCCTTGACAAACAATTTTCATTTATTTCCGAATTTATGAAAAGCATGACGATGGACGACAAACAGCGCCGGATGTCAACCGAATTTTGAAGAAATCAGTCAAGCATGGTCCTTTGTAGAACATCCCTCATTTTGTTCATATCGTATCAACACTCTGACATAATTGACCCGACAATGAGAGGCGTTCCTTATATTTTTAATAAACCGTCTCATTTGTACAGTTCCTGACATGACTAGGCATTGGTCCGTTATATTTCATTTGAATGGACATCTTCGACAGGCAAGGGTTACGATCCGATACATTTTTCGTTATCAGAATTAAACTGTAATAATTTGATTCATTCTTATCTGCCTTTGTCCCCATTTAACAATATTGTTTTTATTTTTTCGTTTCGTTTCGTTGATTCCCTTTTCGTTTTGGTTTGTGTCTTTTTGTTTCGTTTTTGTTTTGTTTTTGTTTCGTTTCGTACTTTATTGCCCCCTCCCCGAACAGACTATTACTTAAACTTAACCAAGAGTTTGTTTTCCGTTCAGTATATGCTCACTGAGATTGTTTTTGCTTTGTTTTACTGCATGTAAAGGTTTATTGATTCTCCTTAAGCATTTTCTACCCCCTCCTAAATGATATTATCATTCCCAATTTGACTAAAACTTTTAAAAAATGGCACAGTCACTTCGTGTTTTCACTTACGTTTTTCATAGTTGAAATTCAATGTTCGAAATACGTATAACGCTTAAAAGTCTTTTCAACCTGGTCCTTTTGGTCTATGGTGGGTAGTTGTCTCATTGGCAATCATATCTAAATTTGTTAAATTGTCTGGACGTTTTGTTGCCTGAATTCTACCCCTGATCTTAAAAGAACTATATAAGAGGTTAGAATAGTAGGGTGTTGGGTATGTAAATGTACGGCCAAAATAGTGAAAAATTTGTGTTTGATGCGCAAAAAAGAGGCGAAATATACCAAAAGGATATCCAACACACATAAGTCGAAAACGAACTTTCAATGCAATGAAACAAATCAAACAAGAGGCTCCTAAGAGCCTGCATGAATCGCTCACCTGATTTTTTCTATTAATGCGCGTTTAATCACGCCTTTAAAAAAAATTCTCTCTATCTATCATAGTTTCTGCAAAAAAAACTAAAAACAAAAATGGTAAAATTATCTTTCAAGGCAATAACTCCTTTAATGGATCAATTGATAATTTCTGAACATTTCCTGTTTAAATTTTTTTTCCAAAAACTGAGAAATTTAATAAAAAATATTATTATTTCAGGGGCAATAACTCCAAATTTAAGACTGTTTTGGTTTTTGAGATTTAAGCCAAAAACTGCATTTCATTTCTATGTTCTATTTTTAGCCATGGTGGCCATGTAATTTGACTGACCGGAATAAAAAACCACAATCGTCATACTAAATACCATAAGGAGCATTCACCCCAATATAGAAATAAGGAGATTTGGTATGATGATGGCCAATGAGACAACTACCCGGCAAAGTTCAAATGAAGTTGATGTAAGCAATTATAGGTAACCAAGTTTGGTTGAAATTAGTGAATAAGTTTCAGAGGAGGAAATCTTTTAAAAAGTCTACGACGACGACTACGGAAGACGACGACGGATCACGACGGACGCCAAGTGATAGCAATAGCTCACATGGTCCTTTGGGCCTGGTAAGCTAAAAAATTCGTAAGGGTTCCGCGGAACCCAGTGTCTCGCCTACTTTTGCTGTTAGTCGCAGGCTCAACAAAAATGGGGAAAAAATTATTAAAAATTTTACTCTAGATACTATCTTTTGATTGTAAGAAGTTCTGTTCAAGTTTGGTAAAAATCGAAGAAGGTTTATGAATCTAATAAATGTTTTAAAAACTTTAACTGCAGACTGTACGTTATGTTAACTGGAATAAAACTAAGTCCATTTATAAGTAATATACGGAAAAACAGGAAATAAATTTTTACAAAATTTCCTTTTAGATACTAGCTTTTGATCATAAACAAGCTTCTGTCCAAGTTTGGTACAAATCCAGGATAGTTTAAGAAAGATATTAAAATTTGAAAAACTTTAACCACAGAGTGAATGTTATGTTAACTGGCAGAAAAACTAAGTCCAGATATGAGTAAAATACGGATAAACAGGATTTTTTTTTTACAAAATTTACTTCTGGATACTATCTTATGATCATAAACAAGCTTCTGTTCAAGTTTGGTTGAAATGCAGGATAGTTTAGGAAAGTTATTTTAATTTCAAAAACTTTAACCACAGAGTGAATATTTGTGGACGCCGCCGACGACGCCGTACGACGACGACGACGGAATGTAGGATCGCTATGTCTCGCTTTTGCGACAAAAGTCGCAGGCTCGACAAAAACGACCAAATGACAAATATAAATAAGGAAAAGTGGTATGAGTGCCAATGAGACAACTATCCATCCAAGTCACAATGTGTAAAAAGTAAACAATTAAAGGTCAAAGTACGGTCTTCAACACGGAGCCTTGGCTCACACCGAACATCAATTTATAAAGCGCCCCAAAATGACTAGTGTAAAACAATTCAAACAGGAAAACCAACGGTCTAATCTATATAAAAAAAACGAGAAATGAGAAACACTTAAAAACCACACCAACAAAAGACAACCACTGAACAACAGGCTCCTGACTTAGGACAGGTGCATAAAAATGCAGCGGGTTTAAACGTTTTAACAGGCACCTTCACCCTAACCTGAAACAGTGGTGTAACATTACAACATAAAAAGACACACAACATTATACAAAACACAACTTAGAAAACTTTAGACTTAGTAACACGACTCCCACCTGAAAAAGCTCGGAAGGGTAAGCAGATCCTGCTCCACATGTGTCACCCGTCGAGTTGCACTTGTAGTACAAACCCAGTGAAGAGTCGATATCGGTAGGTCACATTCGAGGAAAAGAGAACTGGATTGTGAGCAGGTTACGACATTTGGGACATATCCGTCGTCATTTGTGAAACAGATATTCCATAACTGTCAACAAACTCGTGATGATACCTGTATATATATAACTGTAAAGATGATTCAAACTATGTATCGTATAATTATCTTTACGTGGTGTTTCCTTTGACGTCCGCTTTATATTCAAATGCTTTCCAAGACGTCCGCATTTAATCGACTATATCACCTGAAGCAAGACTTTTTTTGTCAGAATACGCATATTTCCTACAGAGTGGAATTTAGAACTAAGGGGTCAGCGTCAGTGGAAAAATGTAACGACTTTAGTTACGCATCTTGCTTCCAAGAGAGAAAAAACTGCTCCCTCAATTTAATCCTATAAAAATTGGAATACCGATATTTAGATTGACTTGGTATGTATCAAATATATTTACTATTCCCGGTTAATCGTAGGAAAATCTGAGATTACTATAACAGCTAGTTTTGTAATCTCAGGAAATAAACAAGACGAAAGAGGTGCTGAAGTAAATCAATAACGGTATCCAATATAGGAGGCCTGGGTTTAGGAGCTGATCTATTATAACTTGTAAATTTAATGGATGTTGCTATTGTTTACACATTATGCAGTTTATTTTTGACACTATTGTAACACTAAAATTTCTAAACTTCAAAATTTATCATGAAAATGAACCGGCGAAATATTGTATCCCTTAAAAATTACTATACTCACAAAACTAGAAAAATTCAATGATTCCTTTCTAAATAAAATATTAACTTAAAATATCGGCCTGAAAACGTGGATCTAGTCTCCTATATAAGACTAGTTGGATCACATACCTCAGATGCCTCTGTGAACGAGGTCTTGAATTTGAATAAAACTTGACCAGAGACACATACATTTTGTTAAATAAATATAAAAAAAAACAAATACTTTGTTTGCCAACCACGGCGCCCAAAATGATCAAACTTGCATGAGCAGAATAATTACAATATATAATTTTTCAAACATAATATATGAGGGTCATATATATATATATAAAATAATATGTGTCCTCTAAGTCTTCCATTGGACATTTTTCAGATTCTATACTGTAGCTAAATGTCATTTATTACATTTACTGTTGAATTACTCCTCAACACACGAATACCTTTGATCACCTTTGTTCTTCCTTGTCAAATGTTGTTTTAAATTTTTATTTTATTTAGGACAAGAAATTAATCAATACTTGAAATCAATCATGTACCATATTCAAATAATACATTTAAATAACAACCAATCGTATCTATAAATCCATTTTTATATTTAGCAATCCTTTAAGTGTACGCAACTAGTCCCAAAACAAAACAATCTGCTGCTGGAGAAACGGTTCTCCATAGCACTGTTTACATAGTCACTATGGGATTGTGTTATTGTTGTGGTTTTTACTGCTGAATCATCAGAAACGTAGAAGGTTGATTGAGTTCGTGCTGAGTCATCAATTTGAACATTTCACATAGCCAATCAGAATTCTTCCCGAGAGGCGCAAAAATACGCACCGCTCCGAGAATTGCCGAGTCGCAAAATAATACGTAGAAACCAAAATAAACGCATTTTACAGAATTTGGAGATTTTATACTTGGATTTAGGTGACCCAGTTATTCCGAAAAGGACAGTTTAATATTAATTAACCTGATAAGTGTTGACAGATAAAGGAAAATGAGTAAAAAGGTAAGATTTTTTTATAATTTCAACCACGATGTGTAAAGTTGTACTATGGCGTGGCCTTGTTTATGTTTTGTTTACATCTGGAATACACGTTTCTTGCTTTCTGTGAATTAGTTTTACATGTAAAAGGTTACATTTTGATGTAAAAATGATATTGAATCAGTTTTTAAATACATATATTTGGTGATATTGTTATATTTGACAGATTTTAGAACTGCTGAGTTGTTTGTTGTTGAAGACCACGTGATATGTTCGTCCCCATTGATTATTGCGCAGATCGTCTTTGTGTATTGAGCTTATGCAATTGTAAATTTTAATGACATAACCACTGTCCTTAGATTTTGTTCTCGTTCTATAGATTAAATCTATAACATTTACCTAAAGTATAAAAAGAAATTATACCAGTACATAAAGGTACATGCCAAATATGATTATTAGAAAATAGTAAACATTGTTAGGGCAATAGCCAATACCTGGAATTTGACCTAAATGTCACATGTGTTTAAAATGATGAGCTTTCACTTTTATGTCTTCTTTGGAAATTCATCAGATTTTCAGCATTATAGAATAACATTATTGTATTTCAACCAAAAAGACACATGTACATGTACAAATACAGTTAAAAGCTTTAAGTCCAACTCATGATTTATCATCATTTGTACAAAATTGCAATAAGATGTACATTTGTAATATCCTGGATGTAATATAGCCTTGTTGATTGAGTTACAGGTTGGTTTAGAATCAGAATAGTTACAAAGAGGATGATTTACAGAAGTTGAGATTGAAGTATTTCACTTTCACAAATCTTATCACTACTGTATTATAATGAAAAAGAGTTTTCTGAGAAAAATAAAATTTGAAAATTCATGTACATTACAAGAAAAAAATATAATAGTTTAGCTGGTTGAAATTTGTAAGATTTTGGTAAATAAAAGATATCTTTATATTGATTTGTAAAAAATGTTTCAGCTGAATCAGTAAAAAAAAATTCATTAGTCATCTAAAAAGATGAGTGAGTAATACCTATATATTGATTTTATTTAATCGTCTTTTTCTCAGTATACTGTACAGATAACAGAAACAGGATCTAGCAATTTGGAGTGATTAGACAATATACATTTGTACATTTAGTAATAGACCTTTTACCTACATATACATTATAAACTGCTGTAGAACATTTGTACATGATCATGTGCTTATTAAAATTTATTTTTATCAGGAAAGATTATTTAAGATATCAGTTTTATATAATAGATAACCACAATTATCATTTACTTCTAACTATAAAGCTACCTGAAATGAAAAATTTAGAAGATGTGTACGATTACTTGTTCATTCATTACCATGTGATCAGGTTATTTACAGAAATAATGTTGTTTTGGCATGTGATCACATTATAGGTAGACTGCATTGTGTTTTGGCAATGGAAAGTTGACTGCTGTTAAAGAATAAAAAACAAGGACATTCATTACCCATTGTTTATGACTTGTCAGTCCTGATGTTAAAGTTTGGGTCAAATCTTTTCTTATATTTTATATGATTTGCTTAATTAGGAATCCTTTACCATGATTAGTTTCAAGTCCTTCTGGTACATGTGGTAGTGAGTTTTGATGCAGGTTATTTTTGTTAACAACGCAGTAGCTTTAATTCATGTTAAACATTCAAAACATGTAAATTGTATACATTATTTACTATCCACAGTGCCTGAAAAATCAAAATACATTTTGTGTACATGTAGTTAAAGATTAATTAGAATTGAACACCTTGTTCTTGAATTGGGGTATAGTGATGTGTAAAGTAGACCAATTCACTTTGGACTTTAATATATTTTGTGTGAATTGGCCCAGTTTTACACATTCATAAACTCGGGGGATAAAAATTGCTTACCAGTAATTCATTATTAAATTAGGTGAGAAAATTAGAGAATAATCTATAAATGTAAGTTTATAGTTGTAATCTGATATTGGACACTGCTCTATCTATGTCTGCTGTATGACATGACTCTGCATTTGATAAATTTGTTGTAATGGGATCACATTTTGGTGCAATGGGATCACATTTGCATAAAAATTTGTGAGTTTTGCTCAAGTCCCCTATGAGATTAATTGCAATTTTCTGGGCTGGAAAAAAAATCCAAGTCTAAAAACAGTTCAAGTAACATGCACATGTAGTCAAATGTTGAGGAATACCTTTGAAGAATCAAAAAGGGACCTAAATGGTCTTGGAATATGAGGTGTTGCAGTTCTACAGACACAGAACATGCTTGTTTACAATATCCCCATTCAAGTTCCTGAAGTTCATGGTCTTTAAGTTAGACCAACTCTGAGAAAAATTGTATTATCTCATCTTATTTACACCATCGAAGGGGTATTAATATTAAAGGAATTCACAATGTATATCACATCTTATTTACACCTTTGGAAGGGTAAATGTATTTATGGTCAAGGAACTGTAATAAAGATACTGTGTGAACAAAACTACTGACACATATGATAGTGATAATTAGCCATCGATACATGAATAAGGATCTACATACTTTGTTTTCCAACCAATTATGGGAATACAAATTCTACAATATATTTGTGCTTGGAGTTTACCTTTCCTTTAAATGAAGTTTATTGTTATTTGCTTAGATCAGGTCAATTGTTTTCTCTTTTGCATCGTTTCACCTGGGCTTTTACAGATATTAGCTTTATATGTACTAAATCAATTTTCTCATTGTTGTCAGAAGGCCATACTGTTCCCTGAAACTACTCCATCTTTTCTGGACCAAATGTCCAGTGAACTCAGAAGACCTTGGGAATCACTGACTATGTGATGTTACCAAAGAAATGTCCAAAATTAATGGTTAACAGTACTAGTATAGGCAGTATGATTTCTATTGCATGGTAAAGTTTTTCTTGGTTCAGTCAGTTTGATGTGATGTCACAGTGTATTATGTGTTTGAGTTCTTTATCACAGAAAACATCAGGACAAGGTGAGCTCTGCTCCTCCATTCTTAATTGACCGGAATTATTAGTTTTCCTGTGAAAGGTCTTTTTTTCCTCTAGTACACTAGTACTGGCTTCCTGCACCTGGCTGCCATGATATAGCCAAGTGTGGAGAAAATCACATGAATGACATCAATCAATCAATAGGTTGGTGTTTGTTTTAGGTTAGGATTATAATTTAGAGTCAGGCATGGGTTAGAGTTAGTTTAATGAAGCCCTTTATCATGGCTATATGGGTTGGGTCCACTTATAATTACAGTTCAAGTAAATGAAGGCCTTAAAGCCCAAAATTATTTTAGTCCCCTACTGACGAAGTCGAAGGGGACTTTAGGTTTGCACTGTCTGTCTGTCCGTCAGTCAGTCCGGCAAATCAGTTTTCCACACATTTTTCTTCATGCTTGAAGATATTGATTTGGCATTTGGCGTATTGTTTAATCATGACAAGTTTCAGATCAAGTTCGAATTTTGTTCTGGTCTGATAATGAGTTATGGTCCTTGAACTTAGAAAATTCACACAAATAATCAGTTTTCCGCACTTTTTTTGGTCACGCTTGGATATTGATATTGATGATTGGATAATAGTTTTATCATGACAAGTTCAGATCAAGTTCGAATTTTGTTCTGGTCTAATGATTTTGTGCAGAGTTATGGTCCTTGGACTTAGAAAATTCACTCAAATAAATTCACTCAAATAATCAGTTTTTCTCACTTTTTTTCGTCATGCTTGAAGATATTGACTTGATAATTGGGATATAGTTTTATCATGACAAGTTACAGATCAAGTTCGAATTTTGTTCTGGTTTGATGATTTTGTGCAGAGTTATGGTGCTTGGACAGAAAATTCTCTCAAATAATCAATTTTCCACATTTTTTTTCGTCATGCTTGAAGATATTGACTTGATATTTGTTATTTAGTTATGCCATGACAAGTTATAGATCAAGTTAGCATTTTGTTCCAGTGCAATGAATTTTTTACCGGTAGGGGACTATGTATTGCCAGGCAATACTCACAGAATACCTGTTTACATTATTGGTACACTGGTTCTCTCGCACCTTCAAATATATAAGCAAGGACTTTGATACAAGTGAATATTTTGTATGTTCAATCTAATAGGTTTTCTATTATTTTCAGATCTTTCTGTCGCAGTGCAAGTCCGATGCAGCTGCAGCTTTGGCTGCATGTAGCCCACCTTCTCGTCCTAGCAGAAGCAGCACACCTACAGCACCCATCTCGGACAATGAGCTAGTTGCCATGACGGTCAAAGAGCTGAATAAATTACTTAAAGGCTTAAATAAAGATGAGATTATCAAGTTGAAGCAGAGACGTAGAACGTTAAAAAATCGTGGATATGCTGCAAATTGTAGAGAAAAGAGGATGACACAGAAAGAAATTCTTGAAGGTGAAAAAGATGGTTTGAGAGCGGAGGTTGAACGTTTACAGCGTGAAAATGATGTGGTTAAACTGGAATTAAATTCACTGAAAAACAAATATGATGCTTTACAGAGATTTGCAGAGGTGAATAGGATCCGTGTTTTATCACCACCCATTATGTACTCAACTGGTTTCCCACATATCGTCAAAGCGGAACCAAGTCTTGGGTAACCCAAGTTGAACATTCCTTATCATTCACCTGTACATAACATTTCTGTTTCATTAATTTATTACAAGTGTTAATATCAACACGAACTTGACAATTTCCAGATTGAAGATTGCTGGTTGCTCATTTGCCTTACAAGGTTTAAAATGTGTTCAGATTTTTTGTAATTTTGTATTGTATGTAAATTGTAAGGGTCATTGACTAAAGGAGTTGTGTAATGCTGTTACATAAACTTGGACAAAGTCTTACAAGAAACTGATCATTCAACTTTTGCATGATAGTTGACTTTCGGCAAATATTTATAAATCATCAGGTGACTATGTCACATGAAGCCCTAGATACTCCCACTTACTACATGTAGTAAACAAATGTTTATTTTTAGTTATGTTAATGCAGCAGCGCTAAATTGATTACAAGTGAAGAAGTTCATTGACAAGGAAATGAAAAACAAACAAAATATTAGTCATTTGAAAATTAAAACACAAATCATGCACTGGTACTTAAAAACATTTCATGATTTTCCAACTTTTATATTTACAAGATTTGCTGTAGTAATAAAGGAGATATTAAGGTTAATGATCAGTTTCTGTATTTTGACTGATTTTTATGGTGCTGTAGTATTAGTGGCAAGTAATTTTTGCACAAATTGCACATGTCTGGTCATATGGAAAATGTTTTATTTATTTATGATGTTTCAAAGGTTGTGACTTGTTATAGGTGCAACTATTTACCTATGAATGAAGAAGATAGGGATATTTTTAGAACAGATGCACACATTTGAGGTGGAAATTTTAAGTATGACTAACTGTTCAAAAGAAAATTATTTTATCCTTTGAGCATTTTTTTAAAATGACTTCTTGAGATCAGTAGGAAGTTGCGCAATATTTTTTATTACTGAAGTGGGATAACATTCATTTTGATGTGTGCGGAAGTTCTAATTAGTTATCCATATGATGACTTCCATTCCTAGGTTGCCTTGCAATAGTTTTTTTTTATTACACCTGGGCATTTTATTTCATTCCTTACAGTTCAAAATCTTTATGAGAAGCCTTGTGGGAAAATATCTTTGTATGTACATGTAAAACCTGTTTTACCTGAAAACTACTTTCAAATTTATAATTGTTAAAAACAAAATTGTTCTTGCCAAACCTATATTTCTTACAAATTTTTGTGGTTACAGAAAAGTTTTAAAAGGCAGTAGGTTTGGACAACAAGAAAGAGTAATAAGAAATTGAGGAAAAGGTTACATTCCAATGACCCAACAATTATGTGATTGATTTTATGTGTTGATGTATTGAATTATCAGTGATTGCTCTGGGGTACCATGTCAAATTATCCTAGTTCAGTTATTTAATTTTAAATTTAATTTATTTCAATTAACAAATATTGAAATTGTATGAGGTAACCAGAGCAGTCTGATAGAATTTATGACAAAGTTATCAGATGTGGTTTATGAAAGATCAGAATCTAACTCCCAGATATTCATGGGATTGTGTAAGATATTGACCATGTAATTGTATATGAACTTGATAAACTTTTATAAGGTGTGCTGCCTCAAAACTCATAGGAGAAAGATCATTATGTGAGAGTACAGTGCAAATATATTTTTAGACTTTTTAGTCCGCTTACAGTACAATGATCAATTTGTAAGTGCAGTCATTTAAAAAAAAAAAACAATTTCATGCCAAGACATTGTTACACAGTGTTTAAATTTAGGACATTTGTCAACGTTTAGTTAGAAAATCCTGACCAACAAGGAAGGAGAAAACGAAAATGGACTTCCTGAATTAGTTATTTTTGTGACATAGTCATTGTAGTAAACAAACAAATATTACGTCAATACCACCACTCTGAGCTTTATTTTTTGTACAATATAAATCACAATGCCGTCCAATAAGTAGTTGTATATATATTTAGACGTTGTATTACTGTATGAATTTCTGTATTGTTTGATTGACAAGTTATAACTAAGACAGGTGCTTTTTACGTCTTTTTCAGATCTTCCCAATACACTTCAGAACTTAATAAGATGGGATCATACAAATAATGCAGTTTGAAAATTTAATTGATATTGATTTATGTAAAACAAAATTTAAGTACAAAGCCAATTTAAAAAGGTATATTAAAATAAAAAAAAAATTGTTTGAACTTTCAGGCTTCAATTATACCTTCAAAAGTTTTCGTTTAATTAGTTAAATTTATCACATTTGAAGGAGTACAAAAAACAGAGCTTAAATAAGTACATGATCTCATTTTATGACGTGTTTTGGGTGGATCATAGTTTGTGGTTATTAAAACTACTTCACACTAGGATACCACTATTGATGACATTTTTACCTTTAAATTGCTTTAACATGCTTTATCAAGTATTGTTAAAATATACCCAACCTATATACTTAAGAAAAATCACTGAAGCCTGTCAAACCAGGAGAATTTCCTGTTGACATATTTTTTGTCAGCTCAGCAAAAATTTTATTGCTTATAGTGCAACATTAGGATTTATAACAAAGTGTGAATTCAGCACTTTGTGATTTATTTCTAATTTATATGTTCAAATACATATTCTTTTTAGATCAGAAACATAAATATTATCAGACTAGTTAAAATGTTCTGTTGCAATTGATTAAAATTTGTAAGGTTGAGTAATTGTGGTATGATAGATCAGTTGTTGCCACATCTCACTATTGTCAAAGTAACATACTGCACAACCTGTTACCAGTACGTGGCTGGTCATATTTAGTTAATGAAAAAAGTATAATGTAACAAATGTTTTAATGTTTTACAAAAAATACATTTATATGAATTTTTTTGAAAAAGAAACTTGAAATCTTGCAAAGACACTAAGTAACAAAAAGTTATGTAATATTAAAAGTAACAAAAGTAGGCTTTGGGTCATGCACATTTCAGAATTGATTTTAGGTACGAAAATGAAAAGTATGTATGGGCTTAATTGGAGTGAAGGAAAAAAGATGAACAATCCCTGGTCAAGAGAAAAATATTGTTTCTCATTGGTATTTAATATATCAAACCTTCAATATTGGTATTTTTAACTTGTTCATTGAAGGTAACTTATTAAGGCATATGAAATAGATTACAGGTAAATAAATCAATAGTGACCTGTTTACCTAGACAGGTATACAAAACGCTACCTTTTGATCCATTTCCTGGTGTTGTGAAACATGTTATATATTTATGCAGACTAAACAAGTTTTTATAAGCCACAGTAGCTTTCTTAAACAGTCAAAATACAAATATGCACATGAAAAAATCTCTCCTATGCTGATCAAATATAAAAAAATGATGAATAGATCATTTTTCCTACTTTTAGAGGTTCAAATAGGCAATATTTTTTTCAAGTACATGTTACATTAAACCATTTTCCAAATGCTGCTGTTTTAAAAATAAAATAAGAAAAAGGACAGTTTAACATTTTTTTGAATACTGCTTTCAAATTTTAATCAAAAGACCCATATTGAAAATATGAAGAACAAAAAGTACCTCAAAACTAAGATATGTACTTACAACATGTATGACATGTATGGATGTGAAATATGTTTATATAAAACTATGCCGTCAAGAAAAGATTAAGGTACCACCCTGAATTTTACAGAATAATAAAAGTGCTAGAATGTTTCTCAAAGGTGAAAATTCAAAGTTCATTTATAGATTCATGATTTGAATGCCACATATTTCTATTTGATGTGGTTTTATATGCTACAAAACTTATTTCTAATGAATGTACTATGCAGTGATGTAGAAATCCAATTAAAGTGTTAAGTGGCCTCAAAATTATAAGTAGACCAGATGGTAGCTTTACAAACAACCAGTACATATGCACTGAGTTAAAGATAATCCAATTGAGTTGATATATCACTGCTTAGATGATTGAACTTGTGGTCATGACAGATTGTGTTCAGTTGAGATGGTTCTTTTTGCATTTAATTTGCAGAGGGGATTGAGGTTTATATGGACGGGATGCAATATTGTTGTTTATTATTTATATTTATGAATGTATTGTAAGTGTTTATGAGTTCATGGGGCAGCTAATGGATCTTTTGTTTTGTATATTAAATCTTTAATTCATTGTACTTTCCATTTTTTTATTTCAAAGAATAAACGGGTATTGAAGACCTTTAATGAAAATGTCAACAATGCTTATCTACCTTGGTATTACAAGCAAGTCCTTACTTGAGTGCATTCTTGGTAATATTTTCAAGGTACCGTAGGTCAACAATATCCTATTTAAAGGATATTAAACTAATCGTGTAATGTTATTTTCATTTTAAGGTATAAACCTTGACATTTACCAATAAGTTCTGAAAGGCAAATTAATAAAAAGATTTTCAGACATCTTTCAAGTTCAACTGAGGCAAATTTTTTGTGTGTTATATATTTGCGGGAATTGAAAAAAATATTTACATACATATTTGTTTATAAAGTATATCTTTAAAAATTTCCTTTCAAAGCTTTGTGAAACAGAATGATAAAGAATTTTTCATGTAACTTTAGGAAGGGAAAAGATAACATTGTGTGTGATATAGATGGTTTATTCTTTGAAATATATTGTACAAATGTTCAGTCATACTACACATGTACTATATAACTTGATGTAAATTTATGCATTGAATCATTTGGATATTGTAGTGCTATCTCTTTGATCTTCTGAGTGCTGTGATTAAGTAACATTTCCATGTATGTTTTACTTATGTTTTTTTCTTGTACTTGTTTTTAATTACAAAATAATTTGAAAATGATTGATGGATGTATGTTTCAGAGTAAATTATTCAATGCTACATGTAATGGAAAAAAAAATCATGTAAATACATGTATGTAATACAGGTTGAAATAATAGACAAATTAATGTTGATTTCTAAATTTTTGTGCAAAAATTGATTTGAAATAATGTATTTGAAACACTGTTTTTTTTTATTTGCCAAAATTTGTGTGAAATTTCGATCACATTGTGTTTATATTTTACATGCAAATTCAGTTATTGAATGAATATGTACATCAAATTGCATTTAATAAAAACAAAATTTCTCAAAGATCATTTGAGCTGTATACTGGCCCTAAGGTAAATGTTGCAGTAGCTTATAGGTTATATAAGGAGTAAAATACAAAGAGCAGTACATTTTCCTTGACATAACTTTGTTTTTCCATGTCTATTTTGGAAGAGGTTAGAAAGGATTACAGGAAAATCTGTTTCATTTTTGTCTTGTCTGTGATGAGTATATAAATAAGAAGATATGGTATAATTGACAATGGGTCAACTATCTACCAGAATTCAAATAAAGTTGATGTAAGCAATTGCACGCCACTATACGGTCTTCAACAATGAGAAAAGCCCATACTGTATAGGAGGCAATAAAGGCCCTGACATGAAATATGTGTAGTTAAGTTTATATGGCTGTGGCACCAATAGTGTAAACTATTTATAGAAAGCTTTTAGAAGATACAAGAGCTGGATAATTCATGTTTTGTACATACACATTTATAGGAAGAGGGAAAAACCAATAATATTCCTGTTAAAATATACTGATGAGAAATACCCAGTGAATAAGGATCACACAGGAGCAGATTGATAAATGTCTTACCTAAACTTTAGAAATCCCAAATTCATAAACCATTAGTTATGTAAATTCTCTAACCTATAAACTTTACCAATTGTGATACACTGTTTTGCAGGACAAAGAATATGAGACAGTTACCTGTAACAACAACAGACATTGAAAATTAACATACAACATACAACACTGAAAACTAAATTAAAACCAACACAAACTCCTTTAAAACAATAGTATGGGTGAACTCATATCCTTGGGAAGGGTTTCTGCTCCACTGGTGTCACTCAGTGCTTGCTCATGGCAACTCAAAACTTGGTATGAAATTAGAGATATCTGCACAATCCAGGAAAATAGAATGGAATTGTGGCTACATAACACTCAACCATCCATAAACCTTTTGGTTCAAAATTTCTTTGTAAGTTGCAACCCTGCAATAAAAAATCATGAGAGAAACCCAACCGTGGAATGCAGTATCAATTGGGAGCTATTTACTCCATATGGAGGTGCTGCTGGAATGTTCCAAAACAGAAATGGAAAGTTCACAATAGGAAAATCGAAATCATCTCTAGATAAAATGGCTTTAAAGGACCACACAATTTTTGTGGTCGTATAATGTTATGACATCATCGCCGTCGTAATCATCACCTAAATACATTTGGTTTCCAGACAATAACTTGGAGTATAATTGACTACTGTATGGATATCTATGAAACTACCACAAGGTTCCATACCACAAAAGGAAGGTTGGGATTGATATTGGGTGTTATTGTTCTAGCTGTTAAGAAATTCGGGACCAAAAAACAAGCATTTTTCTTGTTTATAAATCGCTTATTTCTTGACCAATTTCAATGGGGTTTAATTCAAAGTCCTGAATTCTTTGGGTTCTTTGATAAGCTGAATAAACTTGTTATGCCTCCGCCGTAGCTGAGGGGGCATTAAGTTTTACCCTTGTCTGACTGTACGTCCAAACATCCTGAAATTGGTTTCCATTCTCTTACTTTAGTTTGCCTCAACCAAATATTATGAAACTTATACACAATGCTTATTACCACAAAACACAGATCAAATTTGAATTTTGGAGGCATCACTTTTACCGTTCTAGAGTTATGCCTCTTTACAAATGGAAAAATTGCTGAATTTTTCATTTCTGTTTTCTAACTAGTTTGCCTCAACCGAATGTTATGAATCTTATATGCAATGCTTATAACCACAAAACACAGATCAAGTTTGAATTTTGGTCGCGTCACTTGTACCGTTCTAGAGTTATGCCCCCTTACAAATGGAAAAATTCCAGAATTTTTCGTTTCCTTTCTCTTAACTTTAGCTTGCCTCACCCAAATGTTATGAAACTTATACACAATGCTTATTACCACAAAACACAGATCAAGTTTGAATTTTGGTGGCCTCACTTTTACTGTTCTAGAGTTGTGCCCCTTTACAAATGGAAAAATTGCTGAATTTTGTTTCCGTTCTCTAACTTAAGTTTGCCTCAACCAAATGTTATGAAACTTTTACACAATGCTTATTACCAAAAAAAATCAGATCAAGTTCAAATTTGGGTTGCGTCACTTTTACTGTTCTTGAGTTATATCCCTTTATAAGGTTAGATGCAAGCGGGGGCATCATCTGTGTCCCATTGACACATTCCCTTTTTATTTTGTATGATTTCATCAAAAATTGAATTATGAGGTTCTTTGATATGCTGAATCTAACCGTGTATTTAGAGTCTTTATTTTGAGGCCTCTTTAAAAAAGTGGTCCACATTGAGGTCCAAAATTAAACTTTGTTTGATTTCATCAAAAATTGAATTCTTGTGGTTTTTTGATATGCTGAATCTAAAATAAGGAAGGCTGGGATTGATTTTTGGGGTATGGCCCTATTCAATTAGGAAAAAAGGGGCCAAAGACAATACTTTCTATAGATACTTTGTATAAATTGCTTATTTCTTGACCAATTTCAATGGGGTTTAATTCAAAATTGTGAATACAAGGGGGTTCTTTGATATGCTGAATCTAGACAGGTTTTTAGATTTTTGATTTTGGGCCCAGTTTTCAAGTTGGGCCAAATTGGGGTCTAAAATTAAACTTTGTTTATTTCAACATCAATTGAATATATGGGGTCCTTTGATATGCTGAACCGTGTATTAAGATTTTGGGTTTTGGGCCCCGTAATTCAAATTGGTCCACATTGAGGTCCAAAGGGTCCAAAATTAAACTTTGTTTGATTTCATAAAAAATTGAATTCATGGGTTTTTTTGATATGCTGAATCTAACCATGTATTTAGATTTTGGATATTGGACCATAATAGTTAAATGTCAATTTTTAAAGTTTTAAATCCACATTCATTCTGTGTCAGAAACCTATGCTATGTCAAATATTTAATCACATCCAAATTCAGAGCTGTATTGCACAATTGATAGAAGTTGTAAGTAGATTCATAGTTAAAAATAGATACATCATCAAAATCTTAATTTAGAGAAGAAATTATGCATAAATATAGTTTGAAATTTACTGCTCATTATTAGATATTTTGAAAAATAATTAAAGAGTTTTATAGATTTAAAAAAAAAAATTGTATTAATGATGAATGATATATTGAAAATTGTTTTTATCATTTTTTTTTTGTAAATTTTATGAAGAATTTCGTGGTAGGTTTGTTTGCTATTCTGTATAAATTAATTTTCATGAAGCAAACCCATTTAAAAACTAAGCTAATAGTGTCCATTAATAAATAAATAAATAAAATTCTTGGTGTACTTGGATATGCTGAATCTAACCGTGTATTTAGATTTTGAATATTGGACCATAACAGGTAAAAGTCCCATTTCAAATTTTTCAGTTCTTTGACCACATTCATTTTGAGTCAGAAACCTATGCTGTGTCAAATATTAAATCACAAACCAAATTCAGAGCTTGAATGTAGTGTCCATACTTGCTGCAACTGCTCAGGGTTCAACCTCTGTGTAGTATCAAGGTGCACCCAGCAGAGCATTTTGTTTTTAGATAATAAGGACATACTTTATAGATATGCATACTGACAGAAATAATGATTCAATTTTTTTCTAGGAGCTATGCCCCTTTGACCTAAATATACTACGCATCAGTTTATCATCACAAATGCTCTGAAACCACACAAAAGAATTTCATGAAACTTTGTACATAATTAGAAAATACTATGTAGATGTCCATATTAACAGCAAATTATGATTCAATGTTTTTTTTCTAGGAGTTATGCCCCTTTGAATTTGGAATTTGGCCATAATATTCTACTGCAACTGTTCGTCAGATAACTTTGTAGTAAATAAGGACATACAATGTTGATGTGCATAAGACAGGAAAATCTTTGAACTTAGGAATCTGGTGAGATTTTGTTTGCCTAATCTCAATTTGGGGAGGGGATCGGGTATGTGAGCGTGCTCACAAAGTTTTTTTTCATTTTTGTCAAGCCTGCGACTTTTGTCGCAAAAGTGACACATAGCGATCCTACATTCCATTGTCGGCGGCAGCGTCCACAAATATTCACTCTGTGGTTAAAGTTTTTGAAATTTTAATAACTTTCTTAAAATATCCTGGATTTCTACCAAACTTGGACAGAAGCTTGTTCATGATCATAAGATAGTATCCAGAAGTAAATTTTGTAAAAATATATTTCCTGTTTTTCCATATATAACTTATAAATGGACTTAGTTTTTCTTCCAGTTAACATTACATTCACTCTGTGGTTAAAGTTTTAAAAATTTTAATAACTTTCTTAAACTATCCTAGATTTGTACCAAACTTGGACAGAAGCTTGTTTATGATCAAAAGCTAGTATCTAGAAGAAAATTGTGTAAAAATTTATTTCCTGTTTTTCCATATACATGTATAACTTATAAATGCACTTAGTTTTTCTTCCAGTTAACATTACATACAGTCTGTAGTTAAAGTTTTTATATGACCGCAAAAAAATTTTTGTTATATGACCGCAAAAAAATTTTTGTGGTTGTATATTGGTATGACGTTGGCGTTGTCGTCGTCGTCGTCGTCGTCGTCCGGCGTCGTCGTCGTCCGAATACGCATTAGTTTTCGCACTCTAACTTTAGTTTAAGTGAATGGATCTCTATGAAATTTTACCATAAGGTTCAATACCACAAAAGGAAGGTGGAGATTGATTTTGGGGGTTATGGTACCAACAGTTAAGGAATTAGGGGCCAAAAAGGGGCCAAAAATAAGCATTTTCTAGATTCCAGACAATAACTGTGGAACGGTGTATGGATCTCTCTCAAATTATACTACAAGTTTCCATACCACAAAGGGATGGTTAGGATTTGCTTTGGGGGGTTATTGCTCAAACCGTTTAAGAATTAGGGGCAAAAAAGGGGGAAAAACAAGGATGTCCTCATTAATGGACAAATACTTTAGTACAAAACATAATTTAAAGCAGTGTAAGGGAGATAAATCAAATACATCATTGAAATTATCTCCCTTACACTGCTTTTAAATTATGTATAAAGTAATGGTTAATGAACAATTAAGATAATGTAAAACAGTGTAAGGGAGGTAATCAGAATACAACGTTTTGGTTACTTCCCTTACACTGCTTTTAAATTATGTTTAAAGAAATGCATATTTATAAAGGAAGACCAGTATGGCGCATTAGATTTGTAAAATCTTTGACCACATTTATTTATTTGTTATTCCGAATCTAACCGTGTATTTAGATTTTTAATTTTGGGTCCAGTTTTCAAATTGGTCTACATTAAGGTCCAAAGGGTCCAAAATTAAACTTTGTTTGATTTTAACAAAAATTGAATATATGGGGTTCTTTGATATGCTGAATCTAAATATGTATTTAGATTTTTGATTTTTGGCCCAGTTTTCAAGTTGGTCCAAATTGGGGTCCAAAATTAAACTTTGTTTGATTTCAACAAAAATTGAATATATGGGGTTCTTTGATATGCTGCACCTAACCATGTATTTAGATTTTTTATTTGTGGACCCCGCTATCAAATTGGTTCATATTGAGGTCAAAAGGGTCCAAAATTAAACTTTGTTTGATTTCATCAAAAATTGAATTATTGGGGTTCTTTGATATGCCAAATCTAACCGTGTATTTAGATTTTTAATTTTGGGTCCTGTTTTTTAAATTGGTCTACATTAAGGTCCAAAGGGTCCAAAATTAAACTTAGTTTGATTTTAACAAAAATTGAATTCTTGGGGTTATTTGATATGCTGAATCTAAACATGTGTTTAGATTTTTGATTATGGGCCCAGTTTTCAAGTTGGTCCAAGTTGGGGTCCAAAATTAAACTTTGTTTGATTTCAACAAAAATTGAATATATGGGGTTCTTTGATATGCTGAATCTAAACATGTATTTAGATTTTAGATTTTTGGCCCAGTTTTCAAGTTGGTCCAAATTGGGGTCCAAAATTAAACTTTGTTTGATTTCAACAAAAATTGAATATATGGGGTTCTTTGATATGCTGAATCTTACCATGTATTTAGATTTTTTATTTGTGGGCCCGCTATCAAATTGGTTCATATTGAGGTCAAAAGGGTCCAAAATTAAACTTTGTTTGATTTCATCAAAAATTGAATTATTGGGGTTCTTTGATATGCCAAATCTAACCGTGTATTTAGATTTTTAATTTTGGGTCCCGTTTTTTGAATTGGTCTACATTAAGGTCCAAAGGGTCCAAAATTAAACTTGGTTTGATTTTAACAAAAATTGAATTTTTGGGGTTTAGATATGCTGAATCTAAACATGTGTTTAGATTTTTGATTATGGGACCAGTTTTCAAGTTGGTCCAAGTTGGGGTCCAAAATTAAACTTTGTTTGATTTCAACAAAAATTGAATATATGGGGTTCTTTGATATGCTGAATCTAAGCATGTATTTAGATTTTTGGCCCAGTTTTCAAGTTGGTCCAAATTGGGGTCCAAAATTAAACTTTGTTTGATTTCAACAAAAATTGAATATATGGGGTTCTTTGATATGCTGAATCTTACCATGTATTTAGATTTTTTATTTGTGGGCCCGCTATCAAATTGGTTCATATTTAGGTCAAAAGGGTCCAAAATTAAACTTTGTTTGATTTCATCAAAAATTGAATTATTGGGGTTCTTTGATATGCCAAATCTAACCGTGTTTTTAGATTTTTAATTTTGGGTCCCGTTTTTTTTAATTGGTCTACATTAAGGTCCAAAGGGTCCAAAATTAAACTTAGTTTGATTTTAACAAAAACTGAATTCTTAGGGTACTTTGATATGCTGAATCTAAACATGTGTTTAGATTTTTGATTATGGGACCAGTTTTCAAGTTTGTCCAAGTTGGGGTCCAAAATTAAACTTTGTTTGATTTCAACAAAAATTGAATATATGGGGTTCTTTGATATGCTGAATCTAACCATGTATTTTGATTTTGGACATTGGACCATAATAGGTAAATTAAAAAAATTGAAGTTCTTAGACCACATTCTTTCTGTGTCAGAAACCTATGCTGTGTCAAATATTTAATCACAATCCAAATTCAGAGCTGTATCAAGCTTGAATGTTGTGTCCATACTTGCCCCAACTGTTCAGGGTTCGACCTCTGCGGTCGTAGCAAGCTGCGCCCAGCGAAGCATTTTATTAAAACATTTATTAGATTCATAAACCATTCTGGATTTTTACCAAACTTGGACAGAAGCTTCTTACAATCAAAAGATAGTATCTATAGGAAAATTTTTAATAATTTTTTCCCCATTTTTGTTGAGCCTGTGACTAGCAGCAAAAGTAGGCGAGACACTGGGTTCCACAGATCCCTTACGAATTTTCTTAGTTCAATGTATGCTAAAATATCACTGTTTTATTCAAATGAATATTTTCAGCTATTATTAGCAAACGTAATAGAACAACTATATTTGGAATATTATTCAAGGTCTGTCAGACCTTGATGTATAGAATGATATAAGGTGTAATTGTCCCACTAACAGGGTTCATCTGACCTTAACCTCCTTTGATTTCTTTATTACTAATTAGTAAAATTACAATATTTAGATGTACTAGCATTTTTCCTAGAATTGTATTTTTTTTCTCAATTTTTTGCTTAGTTGGAAGATGTTGAAAACTAGCATTTAGTTGTGCATGGGCAAGTGGGTGGTGAAAAGTGGGACCTTTTTTATGTAATCAACCTTGAAACTTCACAGGTAGATTGCAAATATATTATACATTTTACACCTGCTACTATGGAATTGTTTGAAGAATTATTTCTTAGTTTTCCACATATCAGAACTTAATCCTTTTTTGGCAAAATTTACAAAAAATGGTTCCAATTTTGTGTGATCAACTCCTCTAAGAGTTTTCAACCAAGATCCTCGAAACCTCACAGATATATTGCACACACATTGCAATTGTGCATCTGCTATTATGGAATTGTTTAAGGATTTTAAGGAATATCTCAGCAAAGTTTACAAAAGAAAGTACCTATTTTGTGTAACTAACTCCTACAGTTTCCACTCAAATCTTTGGAACAAAAAGCTTTTACCACCCTATTGAGGTTGTGCACTACCATTGTGGAATTTTCAAAGATTTTTGTCCATTTTTCATTTTCATATTTCCATAAAGGTATAAAAATGCTCATTATAGACCATTCTCTATTGTTAAAACTCACTCAATGGTCTCTTGTTCGCCTCAAGTGTGAGAGGTTGTGGTTTCCAACCCTGGCTAGGTCAGTTTGAGGACTTTAAAATTAGTTTTTACCAGTACTGCATTTTCTCTAAGAAAGTTAGTAGAATGTGTCTGGGTAAGGTGATATGTCTGCCTGCAGACTTTTACCTTGTGAACTAGCACATTACAATTCTGGCTCAGTGTATTGGCCTAGTACAAAGCAGGTTTCATACACATGTTCTTGTCCCGAATATGCATTTAATTTGCCACTGGATGTTAAACAGCCATCCATCCATCTATCCATCCATTGTTTAGGTAAACTTCTGCATAACCTGGCCATTTAAGTCTTCAATCCATTTTGTAAAAGACATTTTTATGCAAATGTCAGGAATTTTTGTTATGACCTTGCAATTAAGATAGATTTTAAACAAAGAAGTGATAGAAACTAAGCTTTGAGTTTTGAATTTAACAAGTAAGTTCGATAGTCTACTGTATCAATTTCTCCTAATATAAAACAGGTGATGTAGATGTTGATATTTAATTTTAACGCCACTGATTTAACAGAAGAAATTGTATTTTTAGGCTAATCTGAATATAAAAACAAAACACGATTTTGCACAAACACCACAATTTATTTTATAAATAATAACACACAAGTTTGAACATAACACACATTGTATTACTGTGTTATACACAAATGTTTACACAAGCGGCGGGAATGATTATGAGGAATGGCTGACACATAATATTGCCTTATTAAAATAAAAAATAGTTTTAGTGAAATCACTTCCTGATAAAAATAAAACTTTTTTTTTAAGTACGTTTTTCAACCAAGCCCGATCTTGTCTTATGTAGGCAAAGGGAGTTAATCCAATAATCTATAATCCCCTTTATTTGTAATGTAACCAACTCACTTGGAAATACACCATTAAAAACTAGAGTTTTAGTCTTGGGTAAATACTTTTTAAACAGGTACAGTTTATGCAAGTTATAAAGGTCAATGATCATTGGGGAAAGAATAACCTTTAAATGAATGTTTTTTTATAAAAAAAAATCATCTTTTTGAGTTATTGTTCACAAATTTAGGAATGAACAGAGTTTAAATAGTATAATCCTACGTGTACATAATGAACTGGCAAGAAAATGGGTTCACAGAATACATTCTAAACAACATAAAATGAAGGATTTAAGTACCTAATAGTGTAATGGTAACTGACTAGAGTGGGTCAACTTGATGATTTTTTACACATGATTTTTTATAAACAATTCAAATACATAATATGATAACATACACAATATTTTCATTAAAGGTAAGTTATAAATCGTAAAAATTCTAGGGAAAAGCTAACTATTATGTAAAACCTAAAATGTTTACGTTGATTCTTTTGATGAATTATTAAGTAGTAGATTCCTGAATTATTTAAAATTTGCTGAAATATGTGATGTTGCATTTACTTTATAGTAAAGTATCAACCTCTACATGTCTATGTCAGTCACCTTGTATTGTTGGGTTGCTGTCACATTGACATTTTCACCATTTATCAATTTATTTACATATAACATTTTTTTTTGTGTGTGTGCTTTTTTTCTTAAATTTTTATCTTTATTCTTATATGTTTTATATTTTTGCTTACCAAACTTTTTTGTTGTGTAGCTGAAGAAAGTTATTCAAGAAATTTGTGTCTCTTTCATACTCTTTTTCTAAAATAAATGCCATAGTACAGCATTTTTAGATTTAAATAAAAGGCTATGAAAAAACTCAACTATTACTCCCATACAAAACTATATACTAGTTTTAAATTGAAAGTATGGATTAACTGGCCCTACTTTTACAATATGAAAGCTCAGTTAAAAAGTGAATTTCACCCTTTTTCATATAGTCACAGAATTTATAAACACAACATTTATTTTTTACACTACCTATTCCTAAAAAGTCAACTGAGCCCAGCAACACCACATAATCAGCAGAAACAACATTGTTTAGAACTATGATACAGCATCACAGAGAATTAACAACAAAAAGCTGTTATATAACAAGAATTGCATATTACTATGGGATAAAAAGCAAAATCTATAACAATATAATCATTAAAAAAACTGCGTGTTTTTAAGTACAGTTGCACTTCATAAATGTTTTTATTTTTAAAGCATTCTTGACGACAACTAAGCTTGTTAAGCATTAAATTGAGAACAAATTAATATGTGGTATTAAAATTTGAATCTCGGTAAATAAATTTTTTTATTTTAGTTTCAAAAATGATTTTATTTATGATTATACTAATTTAAAAAATAATGAGAATACAATTGATAAAGGATGTGCCATTTAAAAGTTTGATTGGTTTAGCTGATGTTCCATTTTATCTCATTTCATGAAGTTCATTATAAAAATTTTATAACAAATTCTAAATTAATTTGGAGTCTTGCTCATGAAAATTCCATAAAAAATTGAACATATAAAACTTGGTTAAGGTAACTTTAATCAATTGAAATTTTCGAGTTAAAAATCATTTAATCATATTTATCATTTTACAATCAAAGGAGAGAAAATTTACTGCATCAGAATATAATGCATTCTTGGTTATATTTTGTAAATTGTATACCAAAACAATGGAGACTAGAAAAGACAAACTATGCATGATAAAAGGGAGGTAATTAAATAACAATATTTATTTTTTTGTTTGTAATATAAACATCAGGATTCTGGATTTAAAAATGGAAAAATATTTATATCTGAATTATAAAAGAACAATTTAAAAAATCAAATTCAAATATTTTATTTTCAATCCTATTGTTTTGGTACTGGAAATCCACAATATGCAAAAATGATACAACCTATTAAATCATTACAACAGAAAAGTAAACAACTATGTTACAATTTAAAAATGAAGGCACAAAACTTTATATTACAGCAAACTTCACCATTTGTGCCCATTTGTTTTATAATGGTCTGAATAAATAACATTTAAACAGAAACTGTTGATTTTTTATTTAAATTTGTAACTATTGCCTTCTAGCTTGCTTGCATTTAATTATTATTGCCTGTTTATTTTCTATGTTTCGTATATAACATTAAGCATGCTAGTAGTTTAGAGCTATTTTCCTAATGCTTGTAGTTTAAAGGTTTGGTTGGCTTGCTTGCTTTGTTTGTATAAATGTTTGCTCAAGCATTGTAATTAAGATTGACATCTGTAATCAATAGGTAGGCGGGGCTTCAGCTTGTACACATTATACTTAAATGTTATTGGATGTTAAGTATAATGCAGAGTATGTTGTATACCCCGCCTATATATTGATTGCAGATGTCAATCTTAATTACAATGCTTGAGTAAACATTTGTACAAACAAAGCAAGCAAGCCAACCAAACCTTTAAACTACAAGCATTAAGAAAATAGCTCTAATGATAAAAAATCATTAATGGTTTGAACTAATATACACAGATATAAACAAAGGTTTTATATCTCAATATGGAAATATGAAATTACTTTCTGTTATTTTGTTGGTAAATATGAATTTAAGTATGGAATATGACAGCAGTGACCAAACTACATACCTAATCATTAACAAAAACTGTATTGTAAGTAGTTAAAAACATCCACAAACAATAAGGAATGATAAGAGACATAATAAATACAATCTTTAGAATGTAACAAACAAACAATAGAAAACATTAATAACAAAAATAAATTAAAGCACTATAAAAGTTCAATAAAACAAAATATAAAAAATAAATTAGTGTAAAAGATAATGCTAAAAGGACAATTTGAATCAATTTAATCTTATTCTACTGAACAAAGATTAAATAATATGTAAAATTAAGGGGAATATTCAGTTATGTTAATAACTTTACTGTTAAAAGGCTTCAGAGGAAGCGACATAAGTTATAGGTATAAACGTAATATAAGTATTTGCTTGGGAACTGAAATTCTTGGATTAGAACAATGATGGGGTTGTCTTATTTCAAAAAACTTGGTAACTTTTTATATTCAGAAAACAAAGTTATGTCCCAAGTTTCTCACTAAAATGTGAAAATAAGGGTACACGGAAGTGAAAATAACCGTAATGACAGAAATTTGTGAACAATGATTCACATGTCTATTGGAATTCTCCATATGGAATGTTATCCTTTTTAGACGATAAATAATATGAAAACTATGTTTCTATTTACCCGTTATTATATTAATAGAGTTAAATATCACTAACAAAATCTTGATAAATAACAAAATCTTGATAAACTGCTATAATTAATTCTACAATTGAAGTCTGTGATTCACATAAAGCTCTAATGTTGTAAATAGAAATTTTTATAAATTATTAAAATTACATTGTGAATATTGTAATTAAATTATGAAAATCGCTTTAATAATGATTCAGCACTCCAAACAACAATACTTCATGTTTTTTTCTTCTTCAAATAAACTGACTTTCAGGTCACTAAAATGACCAAAAGGAAATCAAACTTGCGTAATCCCTGGTTGTATCATAAAATGCTGTTAAAAAAGATACCATTATTTTCATGGTCATATTTTTCTCTTCAAATTTCTTGAATGACTAGAATCTGACTGGATTTCTGTCCTTAGGAGCAATCACTAGACAACTGTGCTGACATAAACGATCTGATCTGGACTGTCTAGACTTGAGTAACTACAGTGTATCCGTTTGTCACGTCCATTTAAGACTAGTACTGTAGATTTAGACGGTGCTGCTACATACTGACTGAACATATCACCAGTAACTATTGTTCTAACTGATCTTGACCATGGCCAGACACGTTCTGTACGGGCTTCGTCTTTACCTGAGAAAATACAATAAAGGACTAAATATAAAGATATAAAATATTCTGGTCTAGGTTTCAGTAATAGAATTAATCATCACTTTATTTGATTATACAGAAATATATTTAGTTTGGTGATTAGTGAATTGTTTTTCAATTTATTTGTCCTCAAAACTGCAATACATGGTTTAGGGAATTGACACTAAGATATGATGTGATGTAGGGTTTGAACATGATTTCCAATCCGCAATAAACAATTGGAAATGCACAAGAGCACATTTTATAGGGTAATGCTGTCATTTTGTTTGTCAAATTTTAATTCAAACCAACTAAATGTGGTATGATTTCAAGTTGCTATCCATTCCAATGTTAGCTAAAGGATATTTTGATTTGATAAAACTTAACCTTATACCACCTGAAACATTAAAACTATACCTTACTGCATAGAATTTAAGTTGCAGGTAAAGTAATCAAATTTGAGGTCATCATACCTGCCAACATTTCAAAATGGCCATGGGGGTTTTATGTGCAAGATGGCCCTCATAGTCCTACAAAACCTTTAAAGGGGCCTTCAAATTTATTGGAATGTTGCTAATTTGCTTCTTCATACTTTTACAAACCTATAGTCATTGTAGATTGATTTTTTTGTTTTAAATAGTGGACAAAATTGCTCTTTCAAAATTTCCATTTGGGAACTTTCATAGTGGAAATCCCCCACAAATAGTGACAGTTGGCAGGTATGGGTCATGTAAGCAGAGATCATAAATCTATACACCTATCTCTGGCAGTCAAAAAAACTTTATTCAAATTTATACATTTTATTCAATTCAGGTTGAATACACTTGGGCATTATGTATGCTTTAAATTAAGCCGAGATATATTTCATGTTATTATATACACTAACTGATGCTGCAGTTCTTTTTAAATTTCAGATATAATACCTGTTATTGTTGTTACTTGTCCATTATCTAATCGTACTGGATAGATAGATTCCTCACCAACTGCTGCCAGAAACATGTCATATCCTGTCCTAATGTCTGATGGGAAAAATGTTACCTCACTCAGTGCAGAACCTGTTGTCACCTCAAACTTCTTCTTAATTGTACCTAAACAGAAATAATAGAATGAACAGCCAACCCTTATACCCTAACCTTTTATAACTCTTAATGAAAAAAAAAATGTCAACTTAAATATCATGACTCATAATAAACACATAAACTTTATAAAATGAAATGGAAACTAAAATTAGAATAAAATGCTGGTTAAATAATGCCAAAACAGTGTAAAAATTAGGTATTTTTATTTCATACTCATTGAGTTATTGTCAAATTGGCAAACATATTGCATTTTCTTATTTTTATACAATGAGCACCAATACACCAGTAGCATTTTTTACATAGGGATTTTACATGTTAAATAAACTTAAAATAAAACGATAAAAATCAATGAAACATGACTAAGAGGAGTTGAAGACTTGCAATTGGATGCTGATGCAAGATCTTAGCAGAAAACCCAAATTAAAATTTGTGAGATTCTTAAAAATTTGTAGTGTGTCTAAGATGACAAGACTGAACAAATTTGGAATGTATTATGTTATACAAAGTCATCAAGGTTCTTTAAATACAACTCAGGTATTTACCATTTTCCTGAACACTGAACACTGCAACATGTCCCGTTGCCATCTGAACAAAGATCAGGTTCCTGGAGTCTGGTGATACATAAGGTGTACCCATTATAGGCAATATATATATTACGGAATCCGTTATATAGTCCATTATGATCTGCACATGTCTGTGACATTCTACCACAATATAACCTCCTAGGAAGAAAATAATACTGTAATGAAGGAACTGCTAGGCATTCTAATGTCTGGCTGATGTATTGACTGTCTATTGAATATTAAGGAATATTTAAACAATTTTTGCCTATTTCAAGATCTACAGTACAGCTATGTGATTTTTACCCCACTATTATTAAATAAACTGTTATCACAGAGATATGTCTCTCCTTTTTGTAATTTTGATAATGCAAATGTTGAAATTAAAATAGCAATACTTTATCATGTAAGTTATGCAAATATTCAAAGTCGATGAACCATGACTAAAGGTACATGGCTAAACAATCTCCATGGAATGAGATGTGCCAATGCTAATATGACTGCATACCAAATACCACTGACTTATTATAAGTTGTTCCCTTTAAACAAACCTAAACACAAACATTAACTTGTAAACTATGTAAAAGTTTCAAAGTCAATGAATCATGATCAGGGGTGGGGCTATATAATCTCCATGGAAACGATATTTGCAAATGCCAATACATTTGCATACCAAATATCATTGACTTAACCTTAGCAGTTCATCTTAAACTGATCTAATCACAAACTAATACATGTAAACTAAGCAAAAGTTTTAAAGTCAATAGACCATGACTGAGGGGGCGGGGCCAAATATTCTCCATGGAAATGAGATGTGCTAATGCTTATACAACTGAACACAAATTAACATTGGCCTACCACTAATGGTTCCCCTTGAACTGATCTAATCACAAACTAATACATGTTAACTTAGCAAAATTTTCAAAGTCTATAGACCATGACTAAGGGGGCGGAGCCAAATAATCTCCATGGAAATGAGATATACATACTTGTTCAACTGCATACCAAATATCATTGACCTACCACTAGTAGTTCCCCATAAATTGACCTAATCACAAACTAATACATGTAAACTATGAAAAGTTTCAAAGTCAATAGACCTTGACTGAGGGGGCGGGGCCAAATAATCTCCATGGTAATGAAATGTGCCAATGCTAATACAACTGCATACCAAATATCATTGACCTACCACAAGTGGTTCCCCATAAATTGACCTAATCACAAACTAATACATGTAAACTATGAAAAGTTTCAAAGTCAATAGACCTTGACTGAGGGGGTGGGGCCAAATAATCTCCATGGTAATGAGATGTGCCAATGCTAATAAAATTGCATACCAAATATCATTGACCTACCACTAGTGGTTCACCATGAACTGGACCTAATCACAAACTAATACATTGTTGACGCCGTCGCCGACGCCGGAAACAGCATACCTATGTCTCGCTTTTTGACTCTGTCAAGGCGAGACAAAAAGTTTGTGTAACAGAAGTATAGGAATATTATATTAGATGCTTTGAAATGCACATCTAAAGTATTAGATTTCAGCCTTGTATCATTAAGTTTTAGTAAGGATTAAGTTGCTTCCAAACTATTAAACAATTGGTTTGTTTACCCAATATGATCATTATTGTGATATTTAAGGAATTACTGTTTTGTATTTTTGCACTAACCCACAACTATTGTTAATTTTATCAGAGTACAGAAACAAGTGAGAATATAATATAACCAACAGGTTTTGCTCTATAAATCAAGAAATTAAATCCTTGTAAGAATAAACCCATAGTGTACAGTTTACAATCTTTTCGTCAAATAATATCTTTTCAACAGTAAAGTTATACTGGGAAACTTATTTTTTAACGATACTAAATATCATAAAATATTATTACCTATTGGAATAAATGCTACTGATTTTGGAATGCAGTCTTGTTTTTCAAAGTCAACAGCTTTGGTATATCTCATTGAATCAAGGTCAAGTTTAAATAATCCTCTCTGTTTACTGTGTATTACATAACCATGTTTGAACTTATGGTTAAGGTCATTTTGTGGAGGTAAAAATATATCTTCAACCTAAAAAAAAAATCATAATGAAATATTTATTTTCTGTCTGTCAATACTTGAAATAACATGATACTGATCATATAAGCTGGAATTATATGTAATATTTATCATAGTATAAAACTGTCAGATTTTGAACATAAAGAAAAAAATCCTCAATATGACAACCCCAATCTGATTAAAAAACAGATCATGTGTCCATGCTTAAAGCAGCTTTGGTTACAACAATAAAATCTACTTTTTGTTCTGGTAGTTATTACATCAGCCAATGATTTTTTTTTTTTTTACAATTCTAAAGTATGAGCTACTGATGTTACTAATAATATGTGTATTTAAATTCTGTAAAATTCATCTATATTTGCAGAAAAAAAGCAAGAAATTAAAATAATTAAGAATTGGAAACCACATCTGTGGAATGTATAGAATACAAACATGTATGACATATTAATAAACCTGATATTGCTAGAAGGATAGAATCTTATATATCATCGAAAGTCAATAAGGTTAATATCTATTTTATATTTTGATGTTATTGAGAAAATTCTTTAAAAAAAATGAATAACCTGCCAAACCTGCCAAACCTGCTAAAGTTGGCCCCACCATAAGATGTCCAGGATTCCCCTGCCCACCCTCCAATTTCCTCAGAATAATATATATAAATAAGCACAGCATTTTAATGTAAGCAGTATGGTTCATATAGTCTATTGTTGACTTTCAAAAACAGGGTACTGATTATAAAAGACACTCATTTTCTATTTCTTGGACTGACAGAAGGTTGACTGTTCTGTGATCTTTGTTTCTGAGTTCAGGAAATAAAACTTTTTTAAATTATCTTTCACATTAACATAATTTTGATTTTTCTTTTATTTACTATTTCTCCATCAGATGTGGATCCAGGATTTTGAAAAAGAGGGGGGTAAACTAGGCAACATTTAGAGTGGGACAATTTTAATAAGTCTATGCATTAACCATATATGTAGCTCCATGAGGGGTGCCTAGCCCCATGCCCCCCCTAAATCTGCCTCTGTTCATTACCATAATATATTCAATATCACAATAAACCATTACAATAAAAAATCTGACAAGACAGCATTAAATAAATTTGTATATTTTTTTTTGGCAAATATATCAAACTTAATTTTCTATAAATTAAACTGACCAGATCAAACCTATATCCAACAGGTTGTGTATGTACTATGTGATGTCTGACATCTTTGCTGGCATCCCTAATAACGACAATAGTTTTACTGCCAGAGTTATGGTCAGCATTCCAACACAGAATCCATACTTCATCCAGATGTTCTACATAGTACAGTTTTACTGGATACTTGTCTGTCTTTACAATCTACAAAAAAATAGATGATCTATGACTACAAAGTTTGATTCATCCCCAAATTTGCTTGATTAACATTTGTGCTTTTAAGCCAATCTGATTAGTCAACCCCTTTCCAAAAATTACTACAGTTTGTTCTTATGCTGTTACACCACTATCCTATGTTTATCAGGGATTGAGTGCTCAAAAATATTCTTTAAGTGCTAAAAAGTTCCAAACTGAGGAGCCTGTAATTGAGTGGTTGTTGTTAACAGCTGTCTGTCATATACCGGTAAGGCTTTTTTGTTTATTGGTTTGTCAAAAATTGTTTTCTCTATCAAATTGTTTCACATTTTGTCATACATTGTTTTCTCTATTAAATTGTTTCACATTTTGTCATGAATATGGTTTTTTAAAGATTTGTATAGTAAGATCTTCTAACTATAAAAATCCTTGCTATATGTAAGGGTTTTGTCTATTGTTATTTGGCTAGCCATAAAACCAGGTTCAACCCACCATTTTTTCTTAAAATTTCCTGTTCCAAGTCCGGAATATGGCAGCTGTTATCAAATACAATGTAGTCTGTTTCTATGTAATGTTGGCGTTTGTTTTTGTAGCAGTTCAGTGTTTATGTTATTCCGTTGTTTTACTCTTATAGTTATAGTTGATGTGTTTCCCTCGGGTTTGGTTTGTGACCCGGATTTGTTTCAGTTAAATCGATTTATGACTATTGAACAGCGGTATACTACTGTTGCCTTTATTTATGGCCGTAATGTGACCCAAAGTTGTTTAGATCCTCGTCTTTTGGTCTCTGGTGGTGATACTTATACCACATATAGTTTACATCCTCGTCCTTTGGTCTCTGGTGGTGATACTCATACCACATATAGTTTACATCCTAGTCCTTTGGTCTCTGGTGGTGATACTCATACCACATATAGTTTACATCCTCGTCCTTTGGTCTCTGGTGGTGATACTCATACCACATATAGTGTACATCCTAGTCCTTTGGTCTCTAGTGGTGATACTCATACCACATATAGTGTACATCCCAGTCCTTTGGTCTCTAGTGGTGATACTCATACTACATATAGTTTACATCCTCGTCCTTTGGTCTCTGGTGGTGATACTCATACCGCATAGTTTACATCCTAGTCCTTTGGTCTCTGGTAGTGATACTCATACCACATATAGTTTACATCCTAGTCCTTTGGTCTCTGGTAGTGATACTCATACCACATATAGTTTACATCCTAGTCCTTTGGTCTCTGGTGGTGATACTCATACCACATATAGTTTACATCCTAGTCCTTTGGTCTCTGGTGGTGATACTCATACCACATATAGTTTACATCCTAGTCCTTTGGTCTCTGGTGGTGATACTCATACCACATATAGTTTACATCCTCGTCCTTTGGTCTCTGGTGGTGATACTCATACCACATATAGTTTACATCCTAGTCCTTTGGTCTCTGGTGGTGATACTCATACCACATATAGTTTATATCCTAGTCCTTTGGTCTCTGGTGGTGATACTCATACCACATATAGTTTACATCCTAATCCTTTGGTCTCTGGTGGTGATACTCATACTACATATAGTTTACATCCTAGTCCTTTGGTCTCTGGTGGTGATACTCATACCACATATAGTTTACCTCCTAGTCCTATGGTCTCTGGTGGTGATACTCATACCACATATAGTTTACATCCTAGTCCTTTGGTCTCTGGCGGTGATACTCATACCACATATAGTTTACATCCTAGTCCTTTGGTCTCTGGTGGTGATACTCATACCACATATAGTTTACATCCTAGTCCTTTGGTCTCTGGTGGTGATACTCATACTACATATAGTTTACATCCTAGTCCTTTGGTCTCTGGTGGTGATACTCATACCACATATAGTTTACCTCCTAGTCCTATGGTCTCTGGTGGTGATACTCATACCACATATAGTTTACATCCTAGTCCTTTGGTCTCTGGCGGTGATACTCATACCACATATAGTTTACATCCTAGTCCTTTGGTCTCTGGTGGTGATACTCATACCACATATAGTTTACATCCTCGTCCTTTGGTCTCTGGTGGTGATACTCATACCACATATAGTTTACATCCTCGTCCTTTGGTCTCTGGTGGTGATACTCATACCACATATAGTTTACATCCTAGTCCTTTGGTCTCTGATGGTGATACTCATACTACATATAGTTTACATCCTAGTCCTTTGGTCTCTGGTGGTGATACTCATACCACATATAGTTTACATCCTCGTCCTTTGGTCTCTAGAGGTGATACTCATACCACATATAGTTTACATCCTAGTCCTTTGGTCTCTGGTGGTGATACTCATACCACATATAGTTTACATCCTAGTCCTTTGGTCTCTGGTGGTGATACTCATACCACATATAGTTTACATCCTCGTCCTTTGGTCTCTGGCGGTGATACTCATACCACATATAGTTTACATCCTAGTCCTTTGGTCTCTGGTGGTGATACTCATACCACATATAGTTTACATCCTAGTCCTTTGGTCTCTGGTGGTGATACTCATACCACATATAGTTTACATCCTAGTCCTTTGGTCTCTGGTGGTGATACTCATACAACATATAGTTTACATCCTAGTCCTTTGGTCTCTGGTGGTGATACTCATACCACATATAGTTTACATCCTAGTCCTTTGGTCTCTGGTGGTGATACTCATACCACATATAGTTTACATCCTCGTCCTTTGGTCTCTGGCGGTGATACTCATACCACATATAGTGTACATCCTAGTCCTTTGGTCTCTAGTGGTGATACTCATACCACATATAGTGTACATCCTAGTCCTTTGGTCTCTGGTGGTGATACTCATACCACATATAGTTTACATCCTAGTCCTTCGGTCTCTGGTGGTGATACTCATACTACATATAGTTTACATCCTAGTCCTTTGGTCTCTGGTGGTGATACTCATACCACATATAGTTTACATCCTCGTCCTTTGGTCTCTGGTGGTGATACTCATACCACATATAGTTTACATCCTAGTCCTTTGGTCTCTGGCGGTGATACTCATACCACATATATAAGTGTTTATAGAATCTTTGTTTCTGTGCCTACCTGTGCTGGATAATATATGTTCTAAGCATCTTTGATTTGTGCTTGTATGTACAGGATTATACATGTATGTGTATAATTGATTTTGTTCTTACTTTTACAGAATTATATGTGCTCACAGTATCTTTGACTCTGCTTACTTGTAAAGGGATTGCATGTGCTCACAGTATGTTTGACTCTGCTTACCTGTAAAGGATTACATGTGCTCACAGTATCTGTGTAAAGGATTACATTTGCTCACAGTATCTTTGACTCTGCTTACCCATAAAGGATTACATGTGCTCACAGTATGTTTGACTTCATTCTGTGCTTACCTGTACAGGATTATATGTGTTGGCAATATCTATAATGATAACTCTGTTATGTTCTGGCTGGCTTGAGTAGATGTATTTATTCTGAACATTGACAGCTCCTCCCCATACACAATCTTGTCCAATTCCACACATAGATGGAGCTCTGTCTAACTCCTCGGGAATGTACTTTAGGTTCCCAAAGTCACCTTTAACATGACGTACAGTTTCACAACCTTCAGGTTCATAAGCTGTGTAACCATTTTTATGGAAAGCATAGAAAGCTTCCAACCTTTTTTTCTCAGGAGTTCCTGCAAAAAATGTATAGATACTGGGTATGCAACTTCTGTTAATATTCTAAATGCAATTAAATTGCTATATCTTCCAGCTGAATAAGTATCATTCTAATCAATCATGCAATGGATTATTAAGTTACCAGCTGGAAATCGTTTGTTTTAGACACATATATGAACAGACAAAAGGATGGAAGGATAAAGTGACTACTTTACACTCCTGATTTTTTTTCCAGAAAGCATAAAAAGTCAAGGACATATGAAATGTATGAACCACATGTACATAGATATAAGAATATGTGGTTTGAGTGCCAATGAGACAACCCTCCATCCAAGTCAAAATTTATAAAAGTTAACCAATATAGGTCAAAGTACGGTCTTCAACACGGAGCCTTGGCTCACACCGAACAGCAAGCTATAAAGGGCCCCAAAAATTACTAGTGTAAAACCATTCAAATGGGAAAACCAACGGTCTAATCTATATAAAAAACGAGAAACACTTATGAACCACATCAACAAATGACAACTACTGAACATCAGATTCCTGACTTAGGACAGGTGCAAACAATTGCAGCGGGTTTAAACGTTTTAATGGTACCAAACCTTCACCCTTATCTGAAACAATAGTGTAACATCACAACATAGAAAAACACACTATAAAATATCAATTGAAATGGCTTAACTCAATCAAAAGACATATTAACACCGGTGAACATACACTGAACAAATAAATTTGATCTATGATACAATGCAAATACAAAATAAATAAACTAAGGGAAGATTGTTTATTTATTTTGGAAAGTCATGGATAGGTAATGAGATAAAAACTACATTAAAAAACTTTAAGCTGGCTTAAACAACTCAAAAATGAGATAAGTTCATATGACAATGAATGACTGACAATGTTTCATCATTAATAACCTCTATGCATTTTTTGGTTGACAGAGGAAATGAAACTGTTGAAGGGAGAAAATAAATATTAAATACAATATGACAAAGTATTTATTTTCTCCCTTCAACAGTTTCATTATTAGTATGGTACATATTTTCATTGATTTCCTATCTATAGATGAACTTTTGAATATTAAATAATTAAAATAAACAACAAAATAAAGATTTTCCATTGTGTTAAAACCACAAAATTAAGTATCAGTGAACGTACAATTTTTCCTCAATACATGAAATTTTTTACACATGAAAAAAAACAAAAAAAAACATGTTTAACCCTGCTGCATTTTGCACCCTGTCCAAAGTCAAGAATCCTTAACCTTTGTTAGTCTTGTGTGTTTTTTTTTTTTTTATTTTGGTTCATTTGTATGTTTCAGCATTTAGTGTGGCGTCTCAATTCTAGTTAATTACACAGACAATGTAAATATAATAAATGTGGATAGTGTCCACATGTGGACACAGATGATGCCCCCGCTTGCATATCATATAGTTATAAAGGGACATTACTGAGGAAGGTAAAAGTTGACGCTATCCAAATTTGAACTTGATCTGAGTTTTGTGGTAATAAGCATTGTGTTTAAGTCTCATAACATTTAGTTGAGGCTAACTTAAGTAGAGAACAGAAACTTAAAATTCAGCAATTTTTCTATTTGTAAACACGAATAACTCTAGAACGGTTGTGTATAAGTTTTATAACATTTGTACTTGATCTTAAGTTTTATAGTAATGAATATTGTGCATAGGTTTCATAATGTTTGGTTGGGGCAAACTTAAGTTACAGAATGGAAACTAAAAATTTTGCAATCTTTCAATTTATAAAGGGGCATAACTCAATAATGGTTAAAGTGACACTTCCCAAATTCAACTTGATCTGTGTTTTATCAGTGGAAGTCAAAATTAAACATTGCATTGTATAAAGCATTGATTGTAGTTGATTCAACTATAATCATGGACAAAGGACGATAACTCCAATTTAAAAAAAAACTTGATATTTAGAAGAAAAAATTTTTTGGCAATTTTTCCATTTATAAAGGAGCATAACTCTAGAATGGTTTAAGTGACACCACCAAAATTCAAACTTGATCTGTGTTTTGTGGCAATAAGCATTATGTATAAGTTTCATAACATTCGGTTGAGGCAAACTTAAGTTACAGAATGGAAACTAAAATTTTTGCAATTTTTCCATTTATAAAGGGGCATAACTCTAGAACGGTTAAAGTGACGCCACCAAAATTCAAACTTGATCTGTGTTTTGTGGTAATAAGCATTGTGTATAAGTTTAATAACATTTGGTAGAGGCAAACTCAAGTTAGAGAACGGAAACCAATTTTGGGACGTACGGACGGACGTACGTACGTACGTACGTACAGACGGACAAGGGTAAAACTTAATGCCCCCACCGCTACGGCGGGGGCATAACAAAATCCTAACTAAAATACCATACCTGGTTTATTAATTTTAGCCTCAGCTTCACCATTCCCAACTATATTAGTAGCTTTACATTTATACGATCCTATATCTCTCACTATGTCAGAATTATGGATCATTAAAGTGCCATTATTATCTGTAACAAAAAATATATAATCCATGATTACAAATTCTACCGTGTTCAACATGTAACAGAATTATGTCCTAATAAACATGGGATTTAACAACAATTCCAGATGCTAATTGCAAAGAAAGCATAGGAAAAATAATCTAAGATGTAAAAATGTATTCCCAATGAAATGTAAGAATCCACTTTATATTAAAGTGAGATAATTTTTAGGAAAGCCATTTAAGGATGTACTTAGGTGAGGGTTTGGAATATGTGTCAGATGTTCGGACTCCTTGGTGTTTTTCTATACGATACAAGGTAAAATATTTTGCCCCATAACATCTATTTATCTTTTAATATAAGACTTAGTAGCTCATAAAAGGTCATTTGACAAAATTTAAGCAGATTTTTGATTTTCTTTTGTTTGATTTGAGACCCAAATAAAACCAATGAAAATATAAGGTAAAAGTCCGAGTCAGCCTTTTCCCGCCATATTTTATAAATCAAATATCTTGAAAAGGAGCTCCATGACCTATCAAAATTTTTAGCTTATTTTGGTCCTTACCTAATACTCTTCCAGCTTATAGTTCCAATTTTAAATTCTTGATTTATTTAATTTCACCTTAGATTACCTAAGTACATCCTTAATTAACTCAATAAGATGTGTCATCACAGCAAGCTGAATGACTATGTAGGTCATGATGTTTTCTAAAATTAAATTTATTAGATAAAGTTTTAGGAAAAATCAACAAAAAAACATGAAATGTAGTATCAAGGTGGTTGACTTTTATATAACGGGAGTCAATACTCAGCTGTGTTATAATGCTGACAACTTACGAGTAGTTATGAAATGTTTTGGTTTTGCTGTTTATTTTCCAGGTTATACTCAGCTGTGGTATAGTGCTGACAACTTACGTGTAGTTATGAAATGTTTTGGTTTATAAGGAACTGGTTCGTTGTTTATTTGCCAGGATATACTGGGCTGTGGTATACCATCTACATGACAGTCAATGAAAATATCCAAAGAACTCATCTCCATAGTTTGCATTTGCGGTGACACTCTCACTATTGGACGTACTGAAAAAGTAATACAGAATAGTACAATGCATAAACATGTGTTATACCTCTCCATAAAAGAGGTACACTGAATTGTTGGCATAAATTATGTATCTGTATCACCTAATTAATTATATTTCTTTCATAAAAAAAAACTAACTTTCCCAAACAAAGACAGACATGTTTCTTTTTCATTGATACTGTAGTTTTGTTATCATTTGACACACTTTTTTTTTTATAAAATTTATACATCTCTTGTAGTTCTAAGTTTTTTTTAACAATGATTGCTTATTGTATAACCAAGGATTGCATAAATTTCAAAACAAATACATTTACAATTACATGTACTATGATTGTACTGTTCACTGTCCAGCTAAACATATTTGTGAAGTCTCACATTAAACAAATCCTTCTACCTGAACAGATATTAATCAAACCAGAGTATACTGAACTGCTTATCAGCATTATAAAGAATAATGAGAAGAAGAGAAAAGATACAGTAAATTTTCATAGAAATGAAAAATGTGACATTTACCCTAATAAATCCACTTTTCACCTTAACCCCAAACTTCTTTCAACAGTAACAACTAATTAAGCATAATAGTTCTGGTAAACCTTTTCTCTCTAAATTCTGGACATTATATTTGATGGAACCTTGAAAGTTACTAATTCTTGAGAAAGGGTAATAAGGTGACCTTTTCTACTTTTACACATGATACACAGATAGCTATTTTGAAGCATACATATGATAATTTAATGACAATAAAAAGTGCTAAAATTTTGACACATGGTTCAGATTTAAGACATGTTCTTGACATTACACTTGTTTGAACTTCGAAAATAATTCATTCTTAACACAGGGCAATAAGGTGGCCTTTTCTACTTTCACACATGATATACAAAAAGTTACTGAAGCATAAATATGATATTTAAATGACACTGAAAAGTGCTAAAACTTTGACTCACAGTTCACATTTAAGACATGTATCTCCTTGACACCTGGTTTGACTTTATCATAACATGTATAGTTTCCAGTATGGTGAAGACCTACATCTTCAAAGTATAATGTTCCATCAGAAAACACCTGTCAATAAATACAAGTAAGGTATAATTATGTTCACATTAAAACACTATCACAATTTAACAATTTGTTATGTAAGGATTATACATTTTATGTACAAAGTTCTTATATACTATAGCCAAAATATATTTCCACCAGAAATGAAATTCTTGTAGAAATAGTCTTTCTCTGCAATACAGCTTCCTTGTCCAACAACAGAAAAATGCCATATCGGCCTCTCCATCATGAACTAATCATATCAAATCACTTACTGCCATATCAGGAACACTAATTGTATTGAGGTCAATATTGTTTCTCCTCCATACTACTTCAGAGTTCTCCAACATTGGAACACCACACTTGATCTCCAGACCATTACCAGCTGTTGATTTAACATGAATGATTTCCAAGTCTTCCTCTATAACAGCATCTGCCACAGCTATAATAAAATAATATCGTTAAACTTGAATGTTCCCTCTTTTAAAATTCCACAAGAATGCAGGCATTGTCATGCTAAGCAGAATCCACCTTTCAATTCAAGGAATTTGAAAACTAGAAGTAGGTGTCTGACAGATCCAAAATGCACTCATGTGTTACAACTTGTCACTTCAAAGGTGCTGGCCAAGTATGAAGTCATCATGCTTAGCAGTACCAAAGAAAAGTATGAAAGACATATTTGATAGACAAACAGATGAAGGACATAGTAATTGCCATTAAAGATCCACTCTTAGAGTTGGTGTATCAGATCAACTGAAAACTAAGTAGAACGTTAAAAGTACAATACTTACTGAATGCATTTAAGAAGCTCAGATGATCAAGTTTCCTATCTTTTGCCTCATACTTGAGTATATCTAGTAATGTGCATATTGTAGAAATGTGCTCTAAATTCTCTGCAATCTGCATCTCCCATAATTCATCATTGCTTATGTCACCATTCATGTCACGGTCATAGTAACTGAACATCAATGATGCTATGTAACCTTTATCTGCAAAAAATATACATCATGAAAATGTAGGTACTTGTATAGTTTAACATGTGTACAATAAAAGTTCTGATATAAAGGAAACCCTGAAACTACTAAATAAAAGAAGATGTGTTTTACCTTTGCTCTATAAAACAAAGCCAATAAAGCAGTGAATACCATTCTTCCAAATAAAATGAGACAAGTGTAACCCGTGATTCCCAAGTGCAATAGTTTTAAAGAGAAAGTTAAAAGATTTTGAATTCACTAGTATATTAATTTTTATATTGGTTTTTCTTTGAATTGATTTTCTTACTGTAATAAGGACTTCTTCTATCTACTAAAACTGTGATAAGTAAAAGGTCATGAATATATAAACATAGACTTTTGTACTTACTTGGTATTATATTTTCATCACAATGTGTCTCTCTGAATCTAACACAATGGTATCTCAGTAGGTCCGATTTAAACTGTACATAATCTTCTTGTGAACACACTAAATCGTCTTCATTGAAACTGTCCAATAATTTAGGCATATCATCGTATGGTGGTTTAGTAGATGGAAGTAGTGTGGTTGTAGTCTTCAGATAATTTTCTGCTTCTTGCACTTTCTTATTTAACTCTGATTTCTCTTTCCCTTCTACCTTTTCTTTATTGACAATATCAGGTTTGGCATTTGGTAATTCATTTATTTGTGGTACCAGTTTTAGGATTGCCTCTGCAATAAAATATAAATATATTGTTACAGTTGCTGGCATGTCAGTAACTGCTAGTAGTCTGTTGTTATTAATGTATTATTGTCATTTTGTTTATTTTCTATTGTTTCCTATTCTGACATCGAACTCGGACTTCTCTTATACTGAGTTTTACTGTGCATACTGTTGTGCGTTTGTTTTTACTACATTGGCTAGAGGTATAGGGGGAGGGTTGAGATCTCAAAAAACATGTTTAACCCCACCGCATTTTTGCGCCTGTCCCAAGTCAGGAGCCTCTGGCCTTTGTTAGTCTTGTATCATTTTTAATTTTAGTTTCCTGTGTATAATTTGGAGTTTAGTATGACGTCCATTATCACTGAACTAGTATACATATTTGTTTAAGAGCCAGCTGAAGGACGCCTCCGGGTGCAGTAGTTTCTCGCTGCATTGAAGACCCATTGGTGGCCTTCGGCTGTTGTCTGTTCTATGGTTGGGTCGTTGTCTCTTTGACACATTCCCCATTTCCATTCTCAATTTAATTACAGTACTTATTATATGAAATGTTGAAATTTATGGATAACTTTCAATTATTTTCTACGTCTTTATTTGTTGTTGGTTATAGTTTGTCTTTGTTTGTATGTCTGGTTGTCAGATTTATTGATTGTTGGTTGCTTAATGTCCCTGGTTTGTCAGAAGAGACAGGTGTTGGTGTTTGATAGGTTCTGTATTTGGTGTTAACTGATATCATTTTTATGCTTTATTTTATCTTAGACCATTTCATTTAACTTTTCTTTTCTTTGTTACTCATTTAAAATTAACAATATCATACAGTATACAGTTTCTGATCAAAACAAAACAGAACGTAAAAAGAAGACCTAAATATACATTTCCTGCAAAATTATCCATGAAATAACCATTAAAGCTACTACAATCAATCTTTTCTACAAATATCTAAATTTGCTTCAGTTTAAATTGTCCAAAGTGTCTTGGTGAACACATTTTCGTCAATCCCAAAATTTGTATTTACTAACATCCTTTGTGGAAGATGATAGTCTTAACTTTGTTGTAAACAATCTTTCACATACCATGCTTTGAATGACATTTCTTGATGACATAGTTCAGATTTTTCCCCAGAACACAAGACTGATCACTGTAGAGGTCACATTTGAGACTATCGTAATTGTATCTAAATCCAAAACAACTGTCAACATTACACATGTCTCGACATTTCTCCATAGTATCCATGTCACTGGACGTTACTCTACAGGGCATCATTCTTGCTGACTGAATCTGGTGATAGTCACAGTCTGAAAATACAAATATAAATTACATCCACTTGAGTAATATTTTCATTGTTGAATTAGACATACTGTGAATTCATTTATTTTCATGGGTTCTAATTTTTGTGGATTGAGGAAAAATTGTATTTTTGTGGATATTTCATGTCGTGGTTTTGTGAAAGTCTGCATAGAATCCTAAAGAAATGTGTACTTTTTAGAACATTTAAATTCCTGCTTCATCTTTACCCATGTAATCAAGGAATCCCACAAATAATAAGGAATTCACGGTAAACTATTATCATTAACAATTTTAATCTTGTTTAAATAAACCGTTGACACAGAGATATGTCTCGCCTGTCGTCAGTAAATTCAGAAAGAGACAATCTGATGGACAGCAAAATTGCTAATTAATTCAAAGTCGCTGGACAATGAACAAGGGGCAGGGCTGAACTGAGATGTACTGATAGTAATTCAACTTTATAGAAAATATCATTGTCTATTATAAGTAGTTCCTATCCAACTAACTTAAGCAGAAAACTTAACATTGAAAATTGCTAATTACTTGAAAGTCGCTGGACCATGACCTACATGGGCAGGGAGTCGAAATTGTCGTCAAACTGATATGTACTGATAGTAATTCAATTTTATAGAAAATATTATTGTCTATCACAAGTGGTTCTTAATAAAACTAACTTAAGCAGAAAACTTAACATTGAAAATTGTTTATTTATTGAAAGTAGCTGGACCATGACCTAGGGGGCAAGGCCTCGAAATAGTCTTCAATCTGATATGAACTGATAGTAATGCATAGAAAATATCATTGATCTATCACAAGTAGTTCCTATTAAATTAACTTAAGCAGAAAACTTAACATTGAAAATTGCTAATTAATTCAAAGTCACTGGACCATGACCAAGGCGGAGGGCCTCAAAATAGTCGTCAAACGGATTTGTACTGATACTAATGCAATTTCATACAAAATATCATTGATCTGTCACAAGTAGTTCTTATCAATCTAACTTAAGCAAAAAAGTTAACAATTGTTGACGCCAAAGACAACTATGTCGTCGTCGTCGCCGGAAATGCAATACCTATTGGTGAGTCAAAAAAATTTTTAAGTATTAGAAACAAATCAATCTGTTGTTCAATAGTTATCTTTCTTTTCATCAAAATAAATGTTAATCTCTTGGTAGTGGTCAAAAGGAGATCTTTTCTTGGGATGAGAGTTGGAATGACAAATTTTCTCCAGAATTATTCAATTTTTATTACCATGCAAAATACTAATTTTTAACCTTGTTAAAAGGATTCATTATTTTAACAACATGCATAATGTTATAAGTTGACTTTAGTTGTGTAAACAGAAATTGTTTGTATTAGATATAGTAATATATTGACATTCTACTCAACAAATGGCAATTACAACTAAATTGCATTAGCATTTAGTTACTGAGAGTGGTAAATGGAAAGTTAAGTAATTGTGTAGTTTGAACAGTAAACTCAATAATATCATTGGTTTCTATGACATCAAAATTGAAAAAATTAGTTTATCTCTTGTGTATGTACATATATATTTTCAAACATTACCTTTAGGATTTGTACATCTCTTCACATAATAATTTTCCTTCTTTTTATTAAGAAGTTCTATACAAGATTTGTCAAAGAAGATTTCACAAGCTGTAGACTGGTCTTCTTTGGTAAGGTATTGGAATGCTTCACAGCGACCATGGACACAAGCATCATGACATTCTATCAGACTGGACACACTACTGGTAGCTTTACTACACATGAAGGGGGACTTTCCTGGGATAACTTCTAAAACATTGCAGATATCACCTGAAAATATTTGTAAGGAAGAGTGTAAAATGTCAATTGAAATTATGACTGAATTTTATTCATTATGCAGAGAAGAGCAAGAAATAATGAGTGGAATACTATTGATTTTGTCTTAAACATGTTTTCTTTTGCCTTTGAAACGAACTGATTTACAATTCTTAAGCAAAATTTAATCTATAACAGAAAATGTTGAGAATCCTATGTTGTGCATTACTGACATATCATATATTTATTTTATTTTGAGACAGTACAGTACCTGAAATACCAAACATAACTCTATCATTAATATTTTTTAGAGTTAATTTCCTAAAACTTGTAGATTAAGACTTTGGTAGGCTCAATGCTTTGTTTGTGTAAACGTTTGCTCAAGCATTGTAATAAAGATTGACATCTGCAAACATTATGAATAGGCTGAGTTAAACATGTATACATTATACTTAAATTTGATTATTTGATAATGTCCAATCAAATCTAAATATAATGTATACAGGTTTAACTCCGCCTAATTATATTGTTTGCAGATGTCAATCTTAATTACAATGCTTGAGCAAACGTTTATACAAGCAAAGCAACCAAGTGTACCAAAGTCTTAATCTAGGAGCATAAGGAAATTAGCTCTAAGAGGAATTGATGATTTGTACTTTTCTGATGTTGTCAGTTAACATGTTGAATTGAATTATTTCAAAATAGAGAAAACAAATGTCTGAATAATACTACCGGAAGTTAAGTTTTAAAATCTTATGCTTTAAAATTTTTATCATAATTCTGATTCATGTCACTGCTGGAGTGAATTTGGTCACAGATTTCTCAAGTCATCCTTAAGCTGCTGTCAAAACAACTTTAAAAATGTAAAATAATATTTTACATAAGACTTGTTAGACAAAGCAATATATCATTTACTAAGAAACTTGCAATTTCATTATCATCAAAATCTAAATGATAAACTTGAACTACCACAATTACCTTTTTCATTACATCTCTTTATATAGTGGACAATACCTAGGGCATTCATCATATCTATACAAGCTTTACTGTGATGTATGTCACAAATCTTCTCATCTTTTCGGTAAGTAAAGGCTGTACAGTTTTGACAGGAATCTCGACATTCTTCATAAGATTTTACAACACTGGTTTTTACATTGCACATGGCATAGATATGCTCTGCTACTAAGTTAACTGGCTCAAAATCACATTCATAATCTGTAAAAACAAAAGTTTAATAAAATTATTGAGGGCAATTTCAGTTTCTTTACAATGGCAGATGTTTAAATGTGTTGCTAATAAGATTGGTCAGTATGGCAAGTCTTACTTCTCAAAACAGTTTTTTTTTTAACGTTTTTACTCTCACTGAATCTGAGCAAAAAAGTAGCGCGCCTCCAGTTACTGAGACTTCGAAATATTCAAGTTTTTGGAAAATTGCTTTCAAAATAACATCATTTCACTTGTACTACATATATTGAAAAATGTTCTTTCATGCCATTATAGTGACCTATAGATGTTAACTTCTACATCATTTGGTCTCTAGTGGAGAGTTATCTCATTGGCAATCATACACCATCTTATTTTTACTTTAAGAACCTGAGCAACAATAAACAATACCTGGATTGGGTTGACACCTCCTCTGTTCATAGAAATCCATCTCAGAGTTTGGATGTCTGATTATATCAGTTGGTTTCTCAAACAGGAAGCATAATCCACTCTTCTCTGCAGAATACTGAAAAGCAAAGCAACCACTATTGTGTGATTTCTTATCACACAGGTCACTGCATTCTAAGAGAGATTTCACCGAAACAGGCATCAAAATATCTCCCCACAGGATCCCTTCTTGTCCCTTAAACACACTGTATTCACACTGGGTACCTGAAATTTAATGATTCAATTAAAACTATCATGTGGCTGGTTGGCTATTATTTCAATGTTATTAAGTTCATTCAACAACATTTTTAAGCTCAAGACCAAAAAAAATCAAGTTTAAGACCAATCATGAAAAAATATGGTAAATTTTCATCTTCTACGTGCTTATCATTTCAAACTTTAGCATACAGGAAGTGCCTGCAGAAGGCATGGCACTTTCAAAATATCTGCATAATGGGATTCAATGTACTTCAAAATTTGAATGTTGCTGCATATTTATTCATCCCCCACATTCAAGAATATACTCAGAAAGGTCATACAAACTGATGTAAAAATGCACTCCGCCTGGAGCAGCTGGATACGACCACAGAGGTGGAACTCTGAACAGTTGGGGCAAGGTATGGACACAATATTCAAGCTTGATACAGCTCTGAATTTGGATAGTGATTAAATATTTGACACATTTTAGATTTCTGACACAGAATAAATGTGGTCAGATAACTTAAAAATTTGAAATGGGACATTTAATCTACTTAATGGTCCAATATCCAAAATCTAATTCCATGGTTAGATTCAGCATATAAAAAAAACCCCATGAATTCAAACAAAGTCCAATTTTGGACCCTTTGGACCTTAATATGGACTAATTTGAAAACAGGGCCCAAAATTAAAAATCTGAATACACAGTTAGATTCAGCATATCATAGAACCACAAGAATTCAGTTTTTGATGAAATCAAACAAAGTCTAATTTTGGACCCTTTGGACCTCAATGTAGACCTATTTAGAAATGTCCAAATATCCAATATTGTAATACATGGTAAAAACCTCAAACAATTCAAGACTTTAAATTAATCCTCATTGAAATTGGTAAAAAGATTTGTATTTATTTTCAATTGAAGATTTCTTGCTGTTATGTTATGCAATACTTTGCTGTTGCGCAATACTTAGTAAATCTGTTTACAAAACAAGAAATGATTGTAACAGGATGCTGTTACGAAGTCTCCCAAACGAAGCTCCCATAATTCGTAATTCCCAGTGTCGCCTGACATTGGACAAAGTCCAGTGAAAATTGGTTTGGTCCAGTAAAGTTAATGCATTAGTGATGCCTGGGGACTAACCCTGTATATCATTCAAATCATCTTGGCATGACAAACCAGAATATATATGGTTTAGGGGTGGGGATCTCAACCATTTACAAGATACTAGAACATTGGGGGTGGGGGGAACCCCTGGGGACTGACCCTATACATCATTCAAATGTTCGAGAAACTACGAACAGGAATATATATGGTCTAGGGGTGGGGATCTCAACCATTTACAAGATATTAGAACTTTCTCAAATGGCAGGAGGTCGGGATGACCCCTGGGGACTAACCCTGTATATCATTCAAACCATCTTGGTATGACAAACCAGAATATATATGGTTTAGGGGTGGGGATCTTGACCACTTACAAGATATTAGAACTTTCTTAAATAGCAGGGGGTGGGGGTGACCCCTGGGGACTAACCCTGTATATCATTCAAACCATCTTGGTATGACAAACCAGAATATATATGGTTTAGGGGTGGGGATCTTGACTACTTACAAGATATTAGAACTTTCTTAAATAGAAGGGGCTGAGGATGACCCCTGAGGACTAACCCTGTATATCATTCAAACCATCTTCGCATGACAAACCAGAATATATATGGTTTAGGGGTGGGGATCTTGACCACTTACAAGATATTAAAACTTTCTTAAATGGCAGGGGGTGGGGGTGACCCCTGGGGACTAACCCTGTATTTCATTTGATGTGCTTTATCATGACAAACCAGAATATATATGGTTTAGGGGTGGGGATCTCGACCATTTACAAGATATTAGAACTTTCTCAAATGGCAGGGGGTCGGGATGACCCCTGGGGACTAACCCTGTATATCATTCAAACCATCTTAGCATGACAAACCAGAATATATATGGTTTAGGGGTGGGGATCTCGACCATTTACAAGATATTAGAACTTTCTCAAATGGCAGGGGGTCGGGATGACCCCTGGGGACTAACCCTGTATATCATTCAAACCATCTTAGCATGACAAACCAGAATATATATGGTTTAGGGGTGGGGATCTTGACCACTTACAAGATATTAGAACTTTCTTAAATGGCATGGGGTGGGGGTGACCCCTGGGGACAAACCCTGTATTTCATTTCATGTGCTTTCTCATGACAAACCAGAATATATATGGTTTAGGGGTGGGGATCTCGACCATTTACAAGATATTAGAACTTTCTCAAATGGCAGGGGGTCGGGATGACCCCTGGGGACTAACCCTGTATATCATTCAAACCATCTTAGCATGACAAACCAGAATATATATGGTTTAGGGGTGGGGATCTCGACCATTTACAAGATATTAGAACTTTCTCAAATGGCAGGGGGTCGGGATGACCCCTGGGGACTAACCCTGTATATCATTCAAACCATCTTAGCATGACAAACCAGAATATATATGGTTTAGGGGTGGGGATCTTGACCACTTACAAGATATTAGAACTTTCTTAAATAGCAGGGGGTGGGGGTGACCCCTGGGGACTAACCCTGTATATCATTCAAACCATCTTGGTATGACAAACCAGAATATATATGGTTTAGGGGTGGGGATCTTGACCACTTACAAGATATTAGAACTTTCTTAAATAGAAGGGGCTGAGGATGACCCCTGAGGACTAACCCTGTATATCATTCAAACCATCTTCGCATGACAAACCAGAATATATATGGTTTAGGGGTGGGGATCTTGACCACTTACAAGATATTAAAACTTTCTTAAATGGCAGGGGGTGGGGGTGACCCCTGGGGACTAACCCTGTATTACATTTGATGTGCTTTATCATGACAAACCAGAATATATATGGTTTAGGGGTGGGGATCTCGACCATTTACAAGATATTAGAACTTTCTCAAATGGCAGGGGGTCGGGATGACCCCTGGGGACTAACCCTGTATATCATTCAAACCATCTTAGCATGACAAACCAGAATATATATGGTTTAGGGGTGGGGATCTCGACCATTTACAAGATATTAGAACTTTCTCAAATGGCAGGGGGTCGGGATGACCCCTGGGGACTAACCCTGTATATCATTCAAACCATCTTAGCATGACAAACCAGAATATATATGGTTTAGGGGTGGGGATCTTGACCACTTACAAGATATTAGAACTTTCTTAAATGGCATGGGGTGGGGGTGACCCCTGGGGACTAACCCTGTATTTCATTTCATGTGCTTTCTCATGACAAACCAGAATATATATGGTTTAGGGGTGGGGATCTCGACCATTTACAAGATATTAGAACTTTCTCAAATGGCAGGGGGTCGGGATGACCCCTGGGGACTAACCCTGTATATCATTCAAACCATCTTAGCATGACAAACCAGAATATATATGGTTTAGGGGTGGGGTTCACGACCATTTTCAAGATATTAGAACTTTCTCAAATGGCAGGGGGTCGGGATGACCCCTGGGGACTAACCCTGTATATCATTCAAACCATCTTAGCATGACAAACCAGAATATATATGGTTTAGGGGTGGGGATCTCGACCATTTACAAGATATTAGAACTTTCTCAAATGGCAGGGGGTCGGGATGACCCCTGGGGACTAACCCTGTATATCATTCAAACCATCTTAGCATGACAAACCAGAATATATATGGTTTAGGGGTGGGGTTCACGACCATTTTCAAGATATTAGAACTTTCTCAAATGGCAGGGGGTCGGGATGACCCCTGGGGACTAACCCTGTATATCATTCAGACCATCTTAGCATGACAAACCAGAATATATATGGTTTAGGGATGGGGATCTTGACCACTTACAAGGTATTAGAACTTTCTTAAATGGCAGGGGGTGGGGATGACCCCTGGGGACTAACCCTGTATTTCATTTAATGGGTTTTATCATTTAGAACATTTTCAATTAAAAAGATTGTGTCTATCACAAACGGTTTTCAATTTATAATCATTTGAAAATTTAAAAAAATAAAATCCCATAGGGTTCTATAGTAAAACCCTCTTTTCTTTTTGCCCCTCAAAGTACCCCTTTATAAACCCCATTGCACAAACAAAACCCTGATTGCACCACTAGACATGTTAGTCTAACATATTGTGAAACCCTAAGTTAATCTGACAAGCGGTTTTGGAGAACGGGTGCGGACAAGTTCAAATTTAAAAGCGGCGGAAGAGGAAGAGGAAGAGGAAGAGGAAGAAGAATAATAATAATAATAAGAACTGAGCAAAAACAATAAGTCTTCCCAAACTTCGTTTGGGAGACTTAATAAATATAATAATTTACACACCCTGTTTGGTGTGTATCTCCTGCCATATCAGTATTTGTTGTTTCTTTATATAGATCAGAAATAATTTATGTTGGAACCAGCTTAGCCAGTATTAGAAAAGTCTTGTTTTTGGCCCCTATTTGGCCTCTAGTTTCTTAACGATTAAAGCCACAACCCACAAAATCGACCCCAACCTTGTGTGGGTTATGGAACCTTGTGGTACAATTTCATAGAGAACCACTGACTAATACTTAAGTATTTGTTCGGAAACCAGAAAAACCTTTTTTGAACGACGACGACGACGATAGCAATATACGAACGCAAATTTTTTGCGGTCATATAAAAAGTCTAGATAACCAAGATAGCCAATTTCTATGTAATTGCAGCAGTATTTCTATATGTCTGCATTTCAAAGAATTTCTATGTAAGATTTTGAGGATGCAGTACAGTTCTAAAAACACAATTTTTATAGGATGTTTTAAGCCAAATTCCTTATTACAGTAAAGGATACAAGTTGTCACTTAAACTTATGCAATCTAACAAGTTGTCCTTGTTTTTCTGACCTACTTTTTAAATTTGATAAGTAAAACAAAAACAGATAGAATGAGACAATAATAAATGAATTAAATGAATGAAATGTTCAGACAAAAGTACAGTTATGTCAGTCAGAAACTCATCATATGACCATAGAACAATGTACCCTAGAGACTAATACAATGCACTCTAACTAATTGATTAAATTATAAACATTACCAATATTTGCATCCCATAATTGACATTTAGAGTATAATATAAAACCAGGAATCAAATCTGAAGTAAATGTACAGGAATTATCAAAAGTTATAATAATGGTGGGTGTATACATAGTTGATTGTTGCATGAATGCAATCTGTGAAACAAATTATTTGAATAATTGACTATAGTCATGCAAGGATGATGGATATATGCTATATGTATAGTATAACTGACATGGTGCAGTAAAATTTATCCAAACATAGTTCTACACAATGACACAAACTTTAACCAAAGGATGGGAGTGTTGGTAAAATATCATAAATTTGAATGCTCTATAAATAAATTAGATTGGAAAACTAGGGTTAATGTACATGAAACAACATTCCTATAGATATGAGGTCAATGTACATACCACAACATTCCTATGGAAATGGGTTCAATGTACATGACACAACGTTCATATAGATATAGGGTCAATGTACATGACACAACATTCCTATAGATATGAGGTCAGTGTATATAACATAACATTCCTATAGATATGAGGTCAGTGTACATGACACAACATTCCTATAGATATGAGGTCAGTGTACATGACACAACATTCCTATAGATATGGGGCTAATGTACATGACACAACATTCCTATAGATATGGGGCTAATGTACATGACACAACATTCCTATAGATATGGGGCTAATGTACATGACACAACATTCCTATAGATATGGGGTCAATGTACATGACACAACATTCCTATAGATATGGGGTTAATAAACATGACACAACCTTCCTATAGATATAGGGTTAATGTACATGACACAACATTCCTATAGATATGGGGTTAATGAACATGACACAACATTCCTATAGATATGGGGTCAATGTACATGACACAACATTCCTATAGATATGGGGTCAATGTACATAACACAACATTCCTATAGATATGAGGTCAGTGTACATGACACAACATTCAAATATCTGATGAGATTCCTAACTTTGGGTGTGAATAATTATGCAAACACATCCAATTTTTTAATTTCTTATATGTACATAAAATCTGATTTTCGGATGTTTTGTGAGTGCGAATGCTTCTGCGGACACTTTCTGTGTGCCAATAGTTTGAAATTTATGCAAATTGATTGCCTTACAGACAATCCTCAGTTGAGTAAAGCAGCCCCATTATACAAAGTGTCTTTTGGGAAACCTTTAGTTGATATACTCTATGGAACTGGGTTCATAAGATGTTGCTATATGTTATGTAGCGGTCCTATCAAGAAACATACTGATTGTCAGCATCAGGCTTGGCATACTCTAATTTGAAGGCTGTATCTTATATTGTTCTAATGTTTTGAATTTGAGAAATTATTCAGACATGGAAGTTGAAATTTGATGGAAAATCTTTATTTTTTCACATAAAAGAATGATTATATACCCTCATAAATAGGCTGTATCTTGAAATGTTCCTGTAAGTTCTGTCCACATTGCCCATCATGTTTGACTTTAATATGGATCTGTTTTAGGCAGGCCTGACGATGTAACTCGCAGTGACTAGGGTATAACTGTCCATCAGACCCACACACTGCCACTCTATGATGGTGACCTTGACACAATGTGGCATCACCACAAACACAGACACCACTGTGGCACATTCGCCCTGGTGAACATCCTCCATCATCTATACACAGTTCTGAAAAAGAATTTGATGCATAATGTCATTATTCTCTGTTTTAATGGTACAATCCTCAGGTTTTTATTATCTTTCCTCAAACAAATTTACTGTCTGTTTAAATGAGCATTTCCAGGACATGTTGTTATTATGATAATGTCAATTCAATTCTAACAGACTATCTAACATTTGATATGACCTTACTAATTGATCTCCACTATTTTGCTGATGTCATTTATGACTCAAAGCTGCTTTAAAAAAAAGAGGCTAATGACAAACTAGCAAATGACAGTCCAATCAATGTATTTTTTAGGGGAGTTGAGTGTAGGTGGTTTATGTGGTTTGTTTGTTTCAATAGCATTACTTTTATGCACTCTACGATACTGTTTTTTTAGTATTGTTATGAAAATGTAGATGCAGTAAATCTGACAATGAGACAATTACCAAAAGGACAAGGAATCTACCCAGATGGACATTGATCATTTTGCTAGTAAATCTGCTGTCACACAAAGTCTTTAACTTCACCACAAACAAATAATTGATGTCATTCATGTTTCTTGCATTTTTTTACATTTTTGAATTTTCAGCTTTATTTGACCTTATAAAATTACATAGATGGATATAAAATCCTTACATTTTTGTCTTTCTGAATGTTGATACTGTGGATTCATTTATTTTCCTGGCTACCAATTTTTCGTGGATTCAGGGAGAATTTTCTTGGTTTTGCAAAAGTCTGCATACATATACATATGTAAAATTGAACTTTGTTGAACATTTAAGAGATAACTGTATTGTATTTGAAGCTTTGCGGACGTCCATCGGTAGTTTTACTGTCGCAAATTGAGTTTACCTGGCGACGCGTAGCGGAGACAGGTAAAAGGATATTTGCGACAGTAAAACTACCGATGAACGTCCGCAAAGCTTCAAATACAATACAGTTATCTCTATTCTAATGCAAAATAAACAAATCGTTGAATTTAAGTCATTATTTCAGTGTAAAATTTTCATTAAACAAAAATTCCGCGAAATAATGTTATCTTCTTTGGCGCCTAAACTATGTGACGTCATAGGTAAGCTTCCGGCATCAAACGTAAACACCATGCATTTTCTGGCTTCTTGTCCGCTTCAGAATGGAATAAAATTTGATAAAAAGAAAATTTGTAGGTGCAAAATGTAAGTTTTTTTGCTTATTATTGGAGAAATTACATGTCAATACATTCCGGAATTCAAAATGTCGGCTTCCTTAGTTACAGACAAGGAGATAGAGAATTGTACGCTTACTGCCATCCAATCAGAACCATTGATACAAAATAATTGCATTAGAATTATAATTGTGATTCACCTATACCAACAATGTTCAGGTAAATTGGTATCCCAAGAGTAATTATATGAATCCACATACTGAAGATTTGAAAGGCAAAATGTCTAACAACAAGAATTTATTCAAAACTTTCCTAGACTTAGGGTAATTGAGACATTGAGATTATATGGAAATTTGTCTACTGTTGAAGACTGTTATGTTCACCCCTAGATTAACTATACTGCTTTTTTCTGTTATTGGGTTGCAGACTCATTGATGTCTGCTGCGATCACACTTTTCCTTTAACCCATTTATCAAGTACACCTACATATAGTGCTTTGTACTATCTAGTTTTTATAATGTCAGGTAAAATTTTCATCATTCTCAGAAATTTGAAATACTATTGATAATCAATATATAGATGTTTTTAATATTATTCTCCCTATACAACACATAATGACTCAAGTTTATGCTTTACACTGGTGTTGTAATCTATTGTATTTATTCAGCTTGGCATTTCTATATCAGAATTTCCAGATACAAGATTAGTCAGCTTGTTTTTACTACATGTCAGAGGTCAAATTGTATTCAACTTTTTGCTGCCATTTTTTCAATCTGCAAACACTGATTACAAAATGATTTTAATGATTTTTTATCAACACTGATCAATAGTTTTGTAATCAATATGATATCACAGTAAGAAAACATAAAAAAAAAGTATCAAGGGAAATCATTGGAAGACTAAGAAATATATTGTATGAGTAAGATAGCTTTCAAACAGTGGCATTTTTATTGACCATTAATGTGATTTGTACTGATTCCTTATCTGAATCAAATAACTTTCAAAGTGAATCTGTTCCCATACAATTCAACTGTGATTTGGTATTCATGAGGATTGGTATTATACACAATGTCTGAATTGGAGAAGAATGGGTCAGACATGTAAATGACATTGTGAGAGAAAATATAAATATTATACAAATAAATCAAAGATGATCAAAATTGGTCAACTATTTCCTATAAGATTAAAGGTCAAATGGATTCCTGTCATCTCCATTTTACTATCAATGACTTATTGTCATAACAACATAACACATTTCAGTCTGAGTCTAGCAGTAATAACTTTATTACAAAAAAGAACCAAATTAGTAACCTAATACAAATATCTTTCTTTCTTAACAGTAAATATGAAACAATGTAATATTTTTATTAAATCGCCATCCAGAACAGTGCCTTTATATCTATATACCATACTCAAAAAGTGAAGTTCACCACGCAAAGGACCCCTTGAAGCCTAGCCAATTGCACTAAGAGTGCCTGCCCTCTGAGATAAAATTACCCTGCCCTTTTCAAAGTATACAGTGATGAATGATTGTATCCATTGGGTTTTGAAAAAGTAATAAAGGTGAGCACAGGTGGGTTGTATCATGAGAAGAACAAAAGTAATAAAGGTAAGCACAGGTGAGTTGTATCACGAGAAGAACAAAAGTAATACAGGTGAGCACAGGTGGGTTGTATCACGAGAAGAACAACAGTAATACAGGTGAGCACAGGTGGGTTGTATCACGAGAAGAACAAAAGTAATACAGGTGGGCACAGGTGGGTTGTATCACGAGAAGAACAAAAGTAATACAGGTGAGCACAGGTGGGTTGTATCACGAGAAGAACAAATGTAATAAAGGTGAGCACAGGTGGGTTGTATCAATAGAAGAACAAAAGTTATACAGGTGGGCACAGGTCAGTTGTATCAGGAGAAGAACAAAAGTAATACAGGTGAGCACAGTTGGGTTGTATCATGTGAAGAACAAAAGTAATACAGGTGAGCACAGGTGGGTTGTATCACGAGAAGAACAAAAGTAGTACAGGTGGGCACAGGTGGGTTCTATCACGAGAAGAACAAAAGTAATACAGGTGAGCACAGGTGGATTGTATCACGAGAAGAACAAAAATAATAAAGGTGAGCACAGGTGGGTTGTATCACGAGAAGAACAATAAAATGCTCCGCTGGGGCACAGCTTGATACGACCGCAGAGGTCTAACCCTGAACAGTTGGGGCAATAAGGACACAACATTTAAACTTGATACAGCACTGAATTTGGATTGTAATTAAATATTGGACACAGCATAGGTTTCTGACACAGAATGAAAGTGGTCTTAGAACTTAAAAATTTTTAATTTACCTATTCAAACCATATCATTATTATTTGCTTTTATATATAAATCAGAAATAACCAATTTAAAATGGAAAATTTTAAAGAAAAAAAGGAAAAAAAAATACCTCCCAAATTTTTTGAACCCCCTTAAGATTCATCACCCCCAAACTCAAACCCAGCCTTCCTTTTATGGCCCCTAATTCCTAAAAGGAGTAGGTCCGGTAAGGGCCGATTTTGGCCTCAAATTTCAGGTTCATCTGATGAAATATTTTGGACACTTTTTAAACACTCAAGTGTCTACTTTAGTAGATTCAATTAGTTAATCTGAAAGATTTGGGCCTATTTAGTCACTAAAGACGCTCAAATTCAGGCTTAAATATTAAAAATCTATCAATTATGCCATAATATGTCACTTTTCAGATGGTTTTTGTCAAAAATGAAAGTGGCCGCATTCGTGTTCATCCTCGATCTTTATATATGATATGTATTATCATCAAATACAACTTACATTTAAATATTAAGAATGAACACGAATGCGGCCACTTCCATTTAAGACGAAAACCGTCTAAAAATTAACTCAAATGCTAAAATTGTGAAGATTTCAGTAATTCAGCATGACTTAATGATGCTAGTACCCGATACATGTGCATTGTATTGTAAAAAACAGCCCATATTTATGTAACAAAAGTATTCTTCTTTCCTATAAATAGCTATATTTTGGGGCCAAAAAGGGGTCTTACTGGACCTACTCCTTTTGAGGGAATTACCCCCAAAATCAATCCCAGCCTTCCCTTTGTGGTATGGTACCTTGCAGTACAATTTCAGAGAGATCCATACACCTGAACACAAGTTATTGTCTGGAAACTAGAAAAATGCTTATTTTTGGCCCCTTATTCTTAAACTTTTTGGGCAATTACCCCCAAACTCAATTCCAGCTTTCCCTTTGTGATATGGAACCTTGTAGTACAATTTCATAAAGATCCATACACTTACACACAAGTTATTGTCATGAAACTAGAAAAATGCTTGTTTTTTGCCCCTTTTTGGCCCCTAATTCCTAAAATTTGGAGGCAATTACCCCCTAAATCCATCCCAGCATTCCCTTTGTGATATGGAACCTTGTAGTACAATTTCATAAAGATCCATACACTTACACACAAGTTATTGTCATGAAACTAGAAAAATGCTTGTTTTTTGCCCCTTTTTGGCCCCTAATTCCTAAAATTTGGAGGCAATTACCCCCAAAATCAATTCCAGCATTCCCTTTGTGATATGGAACCTTGTGATACAATGTCAGAGAGATTCATACACTTACACACAAGTTATTGTCATGAAACTAGAAAAATGCTTGTTTTTTGCCCCTTTTTTGCCCCTAATTCCTAAAATGTGGAGGCAATTACCCCCAAAATCAATCCCAGCATTCCCTTTGTGATATGGAACCTTGTGGTACAATGTCAGAGAGATCCATACACTTACACACAAGTTATGTCTGGAAGTTACAAAAAAGCTTATTTTTGGCCCCATTTTGGCCCCTCATTCCTTAACTGTTGGTACCATAACCCCCAAAATCAATCCCCACTTTCCTTTTGTGGTATTGAACCTTATGGTAAAATTTTATAGAGATCCATTCACTTAAACTAAAGTTCGAGTGCGAAAACTAATGTGTCTTCGGACGACGACGCCGACATACCAATATATGACCAGAAAATTTTTTTTTGTGGTCCTATAAAAATAATACAGGTGAGCACAGGTGGGTTGTATCGCGAGAAGAACAAAAGTGATACAGGTGAGCACAGGTGGGTTGTATCAATAGAAGAACAAAAGTAATACAGGTGGGCACAGGTCGGTTGTATCACGAGAAGAACAAAAGTAAGCTAGAAAATGCTGTGTCTGCAGATATCAACAAGAATGATGACAAGAACAGCAACATGCTATAATATATATGTAGTTTAAAAATTGTGGTCACATACGCATTAAGTTTTAATATACATGTAGTTTAAAAATGGTGGTCAAATACGCATTAAGTTTTAATATACATGTAGTTTAAAAATGGTTGTCAGTTTAAAAATAGTGATCACATACGCATTAAGTTTTAATATACATGTAAGTTAAAAATGGTTGTCAGTTTAAAAATAGTGATCACATACTCATTAAGTTTTAATATACATGTAGTTTAAAAGTGTTGGTCACATACTCATTAAGTTTTAATATACATGTAGTTTCAAAATGGTGGTCACATACTCATTAAGTTTTAATATACATGTAGTTTCATCATGGTGGTCACATAGTCATTAAGTTTTAATATACATGTAGTTTGAAAATGGTGGTCACATACTCATTAAGTTTTAATATACATGTAGTTTCAAAATGGTGGTCACACACTCATTAAGTTTTAATATACATGTAGTTTCAAAATGGTGGTCACATACTCATTAAGTTTTAATATACATGTAGTTTCAAAATGGTGGTCACATACTCATTAAGTTTTAATATACATGTAGTTTCAAAATGGTGGTCACATACTCATTAAGTTTTAATATACATGTAGTTTCAAAATGGTGGTCACACACTCATTAAGTTTTAATATACATGTAGTTTCAAAATGGTGGTCACATACTCATTAAGTTTTAATATACATGTAGTTTCAAAATGGTGGTCACATACTCATTAAGTTTTAATATACATGTAGTTTCAAAATGGTGGTCACACACTCATTAAGTTTTAATATACATGTAGTTTCAAAACGGTGGTCACATACTCATTAAGTTTTAATACACATGTAGTTTAAAAATGGTGGTCACATATACTTTTTACACTTTTTTGCATTACTACTAAATGTGTAACTTGTTAATCCAATTATTGTTTTCATGGGGTCCCTTATGTCATTTATAATTCTCACAGTTCAATGATGTAGATGTTGGTCACTTGAGACCCAACAAAACATTTAATACTTACGTAGTGGTTTAGACTGTATGTATTCCTTTACACTTTTAATTGGTGCTGCAGTTACGGACACAGCTTTAGTTGTTGGGGGATTAGGACTTGTCTTTGCTACATTTGTTGTTTTAAAGGCAGGATTTAACCTGGATGCTCCTGAAAGTTCACTGGCTTTTTCATGTTTTTCAAGAGTTTTCACTTTGTCAGGTTTTTCTGATGAAGGTGTTTGAGCTTTTAATGTAGTTTTTGACACTGAGAATACTTCAGGTTTTAATGTACCTTTTGACATAGACAATGTTTGAGGCTTTGATGTAGTTTGAATTCCCTGCACATCACCATCATTCTGTTCTTTTTTCTGCTCAACATTAGGATGGAATGGTTTTTCTTTTTTATAACCTAAGTCAATATAGTTCTCCTTTCCTGAAGACTTTTTACCAACATTTTTGTCTTCAATGTTAATATCTTTTTCAATATAACCAGGCAGAACTAGATCGTTTTCATTTGACTTTTCTCTGATGTTCTTGTTATTTTTCTTTCCAGTATTATGCCCTGAATCTGATGACTTTTCATTTATTTGCTTTTTAATATTGTCTATTGAAGCAGAGTAAGGTAAAACTCCACCATAAATTTCCTCTACCAATTCTTCCCAAGACTTTTTATTTTCTGATTCTGAATTAGTACTTTTTTCATCATTATCCTTTTCATCTTGTTTTATTGTTCCTTCCAATGGCACATTTTTCTTTTCTTGTTTTCCAACGATTTCCTCTTCGTCTGCCTCCTTATCAAAGTAATTATAATCTTGATAGTTATCATAATCATCATCTATACCATCTTCATCTTCACTACTTTCATCTACATCTACCTCAGCAGTATCATCAAAAACATCCTCTGAACTACTTCTATCTTTTTTGTCGTCTGTAATTTGCTTATTGTTTTCAACATTTCCAGTTTCATCAGAATTATGTTCTATTATGCCTACAGTTTGTTTATTTTCATTGGCAACAGGAACTGGTTCCTTGCCATCTGTAACATGGTTTATTAGTTGATTATTTGGTTCCTTGATTTCATACAAATTATGCCAAAGTTCATCTTTGCTTCCACTATCTACTTCATTTGGTTGGCTCTCTGAGTCAAATGATATTGCTTCTTGATTTAGAAAAACATCATGATTGTTTCTCTTTTTACTTAATTTCTTCCCCTTTTTAATACTTGTTGGTGTTAAAATATCAAATGCAAGATTTACACCACTGTCTTTTTGCTTATTTTGTTTTGGTAATATAAGCTCTTGATGATGAATTTCATCATTGATTACAATGTCTTTTTTATGGTCATCATTCACTACTAAAGATCTTTCTGTCTGCCATTTATGTTTGTGTTTGTGTTTCTGAAAAAAATAATACAGCATAAGATTAAGCATTGTCTTAAACAAATAATGACTAATTTTGGAAATACAGATTAAATCTCCTTGTTTGTTTCACAAGTTCAATACTGACAAACAGTTTAGATTTGATTGTTATCAGAAGACAGGAGGGTGGTTGACTAAAAGGATTGATGGTTGTGATAGAGTTTCAAATTTAAATGGATGGGGTCTAAATTAATGCACATTGGCCTCTGTGGGCACCATCATGTATAAACCCTCTAGGGGGAAAGTTGAGTCATATGCATCTCTTTTTATAGATCAAATTCATGCAAGAATCAAGTGTATCTGAATCAAAATGCTGATAAATGAGAAATTTCTTCAAAATTCATTTCACATGAGTTTCAAATAAAATAATCAAAATACAATCAGAACAATTTCTCCCAGACTAATTGTCGGAGGACAATGCATGGTTTCATTATCCTTAGATTTAATTTTGATGAGAAAAACCATCCACTAATTTTACATATAAACTATCAAATTATGTTTTGATCGATAGCATTGCCAACAATTTAATTTCCATTTTTTGGTCATTAATATTTGTATTGCGGTAATTCAATATTTTTCTTTCCATTTTCCAAGCAATTCTAAAAGTTTAAACCATTAGCAGTTAAAATCTATACATTCTGTTGTCAGTTCCCAGACAAAAACTTCAATAACAGCACATCGTTAAAATGCATGAATTTTATGGTATTTTATAGGGAACTTGTCTGAAATGTCTACTGGAAACCAACTGACCTATTACTTACATTGACTAAGAAGCAGGTCTTATCATTAAAAAAAGATAAAAGACTCAAATGGCTGAGCTACACTGATTGTTTCAATGGAGAATGGTCTATATTAAACATTTAAATATATGGAAACAACTCCATTATGGAAAATGCATAACCTCAGGTTTGCTAACTCTCTGGAAAGTTCTGAAGAATTTGGTTGAATGCAAAAATTGCTGCTATCTTTGGAAAAAATATTTGCTGGAAAATGACTAAGTTCCCTGGAAAAAATGAAAATAAATTCTTCAAACAATTCCATAATAGCAGGTGCGCAACTTCCTGTGAAGTTGTTTCAGGGATCTTGGTGGAAAACTGTAGGAGTTCAATGAATTTCTTAAACAACAAGAATCACACATAGCATACCCCACTCTTAATTCAAAGTATCAGAAAACTAGAAGTAGGAGTCTGGCATATCCAAAGAGTGCTCATACATTACAACTCATCACTGTCAAGCTGCTGACTAAATATGAAGTCATTTTGTTCACCAAATATAGTTACCCTATTGCCTATAGTATCTGAGAAACAGACCGTATTACGGAAATTGAACATTGACCAATGAACCATAAAAATGATGTCAAGGTCAGATGAACCCTACAAGACAACATGTTCACCATGCAATCATTCCATTCACCAAATATAATTGTCCAATTGCTTACAGTATCTGAGAAACAAACAAAACCATGAAAACTAAACATTGACTAACAAGCCATGAAAATGAGGTCAAGGTCAGATGAACCCTACCAGACAGACATGTACACCTTACAATCATTCTGTACACCAAATACAGTGGGCCTACTGCTTAAAGTATCTTAAAAATAGAACTTAACATTGTTCAATGAACCATAAAAATGAGGTCAGGTTAACCCGGTCTGTCAGAAATGTAGATCTTGCAAGGAACCCATATATCAAATATAGTTATCCTATTACTCATAATAAGTTAGTTTTTAACATGACAAAGAAAATATAATTTTTTTTCAAGCAGTCGCTAAACCATAAAAATGAGGTCAAGGACCATTGGACATATGACAGACAAAAACTTAGTATTATAAGGCATCTGCATACATGGTATGAAGCATCCATGTCTTCTATCTTCTGAAATATAAAGCTTCGGCTGTTGTGTGCTCTTTGGTTAGGTTGTTGTCTCTTTGACATATTCCCCATTTCCATTCTCAATTTTAATTTAATATACAAATAGTTTACACAGTCACTGCTGGATAGTAATCCCTATGTCTTGCATTCTCGATGAAAAGGCGAGACCAAAATTTTCATTTCAAGAAATTCCAATGCTGTTGAATTCTTTTCTATAAATATGAAACAATTTACAATTCATCAAATGTTATGTCACATCAACATGGGAGAAACTATAAAAATAATCGACCATGTTCATATAACATCATTCTAATTTCACTTTCGTAGGAAGATATCAATACTATTCCATGCATTATTTATCCCTGTAAAAACTAAAGTGACTCATGTAAAAGTAAGGTGATGAATTCAAAATGCATAAAGTGACGTCAGTCCATTTACAGTAAGAATCTGACTTTACAGAAGATCAATATGTATTTATCAAAGTTTGATTAATTTTCATTAACCATAGATACAAAAAAACATGGAAATTTCCACACAACAAAACATATAGAGAAATATTTCATCAATAGCATTAAACTGAATCAAAATATTAATGTGCATTAAGTTAAAGGCTAAAAAAATACACATGCATAATAATCCTCCTACAGGATTTTTATGCATTCTATAACTAAACCAAATGTTCTGTACTGCTGTGTCACAGAATTGATATTGTTTTGAAATCTTAATATATAAGCAGTGACATAACTTTTGATCTATAAGCAGTCCCTTATTTGGTTACAATGACGGACTGATTCTTGGGCAGTATCACATGACTAGAGAACATAAAATACCAAATTCCAAATTTCGATGGATATCTCGTTTTAGAAGAACATTTATTGATAGGAATGGACAAAGTTTAGAAATTCACTAAAACAGATATCCTTGTGAAGGTCAATTTCTACAGGTCAGACAAAGACAGGACATTTCAATCAGTAAACTGTTGGATGGACAGATTTGTCATTGATTAATAGTATACATCATATCAATATTACAGATGATGAATGTTTCCTGAAAATATTCCCCAACAATAGTGTTGCAACTCCTATGTAATCTCGGGAATTTATGATTATCTGTTTTATTTTGTCAGTTATAGCTGTTAAAATTGGATTGCACCAAGGACTGGCTTGCTGCACAATATATGGAACAAGCATTCTGTGAGTATTGCCTGGCAATACATAGTCCCCTACCGGTTAAAAATTCATTGTACTGGAACAAAATGCTAACTTGGTCTATAACTTGTCATGGTGTAAACTATATAACAAATATCAAGTCAATATCTTCAAGCATGACAAAAAAAAATGTGGAAAATTGATTACTTGAGTGAATTTTCTAAGTTCAAGGACCATAACTCTGCACAAAATCATCAGACTGGAACAAAATTCTAACTTGATCCGTAACTTGTCATGATAAAACTATATACCAATTATCAAATCAATATCTTCAAAGCATGACAAAAAAAAGTGAGGAAAACTGATTATTTCAGTGAATTTTCTAAGTCCAAGGACCATAACTCTGCACAAAATCGTCAGACCGGAACAAAATTCAAACTTGATCTGTAACTTGTCATGATAAAACAATACATTCAAGCATGACGAAAAAAAGTGTGGAAAACTGATTTGCCAGACTGATGGATGGACAGACAGATTGAGTGCAAACCTAAAGTCCCCTTCGACTTTGTCGGCAGGGGACTAATAAAACATCTACAGTAAATGTAAAGGAAACTAGATTAATTTTGAATGTACATCTAATTAAAGTTTAAAAAAACTTAAACATTGTAAGACACAGGGAAATTTAGATTTATCAAAGCTTAAACTTATACATTTTGGTCAGCAGCAGATCTTTTTGTTTCCCAGTCATCCCATTAAAAACCTGTCCTATTTACATAAACTTTCATTTCCAGTCATATACCAGACACTTTTTTCCCTAAAGCATCATATAACTTATCCGTCTTATTTCTTAGCAGACCCAACTCAACAATAAACCAAGAACTGTAACAACTCGAACAAATTCTCATCTCTTCAATACTTTTCTGATATAAATCTAACAGGGAGTCATTGGAAATTTCTCCGTCAGCAATACTCTAGAAGGGATGATGAACCATACAAGATCAATAGAGATACATATCCATACCGAATTTCAGACTAATTAGCTTAGCGTTAAAATCTTATGATTCATGTAATATGATGTAATATGCAAAATCAATCAGAGATTGACATGACAAAAATAACCTAAACTACTTTTATTATCTGATGAACTGAAATTAAGAATAAAACAGAATTTCAACAAGGGTTTGTTTACACATTTTAAAAAGTATTGTCAGCCAAATAAAAGCCATGTTGGAAGGATTAGCATTCTAGAAGACCTTTTCAAATTTCTGAGTGATATAGAAATATTAATCAACTTTTTATGTGCTTTAAAATTTTGTGTTATGCTTTATCTATCTATGTTATAATAAAACCTTGTCATTTGACAAATATCTATTAAATCTTAACAATAGACTATTTTCGTATTACCCATTTTTGTCTCCAGATTATATATATTTTAGACAGGATACCTAGTCTTTGATAGGACATTCTGGTACTTGGTCAAGTCAGAGAAACTAATAGAAGTAAAATCATCAAGTTTACAATCGGTGCAATTAGGGGAAAAAAATGACTGTTTCCGATGATTTTGTTGTGTATAGAAAATATAAAACAATTATTTTTTTCCCGAAAATTGCACCCATTATGAGCTTGATTTTTCTTCTTTTAGTTGCTTTCACTTTGCAGAGTATCAGAATGTCCTACCACAGAATAGGTAACCTGTAGAACAATTATATACTACAGAGTCAAAAAGTCAGTAATATAAAAATAGTCTATTTATAGGTATGGAAATTAAAATATCAAGGAATTCAGAAATGATTGATAAACAGCAAAAAACATTGACAATACAAAAAAAAAGGCAAAAATATAAAAAAGAAAGTATATTGTACCTGTTTTCAATAAGAATGAAGAGGGTTTATTTTTAATTATTTAGAAGAACCAATAAGTTGCTTCTTGAAACATCCAAAGAATAGGATGTATAATTTTA